GTATACACACTGAACTCTGGCAGGACAACTTGTTCATGTAGATATACACACTGAATCTGGCAGAACCACTTGTTTATGTAGGTAGTATACACACTGAACTCTGACAGGACAACTTATTCATGTAGGTATACACACTGAACATGGACATGACAACTTGTTCATGTAGGTATACACTGCTTTGACAGGACAACTTGTTCATGTAGGAATACACACTGAACTCTGGCAGGACAACTTGTTTATGTTGGTATACACACTGAACTCTGAACCTTTTCGTGTATTATTTATTCACTAAACATAAACTAATCATACATGAGAAGAACAAATTAATAATGAGATATATATTTTTTAGAAAACAAGTTTATATTCAGGAAAAGGTATTTGTAAGATCTGAAAATTGCATGTGTCTGTTGTATTTGCAGAGTGCAGGCTAACATTAACATAGTAGACAATTATTTCACTGACTTTTATCCTTCTGCACACAGTTACGAAAGATCAAGTCTGACCAGACCTGAACTGGAATATTTTATAAATTTGACATAAAATACTTCTTTTTATCAGAACCTTTGAGAATTTTAAATAAATTTTTCTGATTTTCTTGAGGTCATATCTAAACTTATGAGTTATGATGTCATAGCTGTTGCCTTAAAATCTGGAATTATCTTCTGAGCATAAAGATTTCTCTAACGAAGTTGGATTTTGGGGGGTAGGTATGGCATTACAGTTTACAGTCCTTTAATTGTTATTTTCAGATGTAAATTCAACAGTAAATGTACAGTTGAAGACAAACATTAATTTCCAGTCAGAGTACAATAATCCTTCTTCACTGCTGTACAAAAATCTCAAGGAGGACATGGAAACTGAGGTATGTTATTAAATCCTTCATGTTATAAAGTTGCACAATTGTTGGATGTGAAAAATGTGACATTTAATTCCAGTGAGTTATATCTCATATTTATCTTTTTCTAGACTCGGACCTTTTTTGTCAACATGCAGAATCTGAAGTCTGTCAAGATTTTAGGAATAAGGTAAGTTGGTATGACATTTGTGAATTATATGCATCGTTCACATACAGTGTAAGTTAATCATGTTTTTGCTTCGTGTTTACAGTGAGAGCAGTACTGTGTTTAATGTACAAGTGAAGTTTAACACAAATCTCACAGTGGATTTGGAGGCTGAGTTGAGTACAGCTCTACAGAACATGTACCAAACAGGAGTACAGCTACAGGGAACTAAATATACTGTACTACAAAACCCTGTTATATCTGTACCTTATAGTAAGTATCTGTTGAACCCAGCAGAATCTTTAATAAGTTCACACAATAGCTCTTATTGAATGGGCATATACTTGTTTTAAGATTTTATTTTACAAGTTACAAACAGGCTTATACCAAAGTGCTAAATGCAGACAGTTTTGCTATTTGGTTTGATTTTATTTTTTTTTTTGTATTGTAGACCCTGCCCCATGTTTACTTTGTCTTTCCACTGAAAGATGCCACATCCTTGTGGATAACAGCTATGTATGCAGGTACTTTTCTGTTTTCTTGTTGGTGCACATTTTGGGGTTTTTTGATAAGCATCAATAAACAGTCAATCTTTTTGCTTACTTTTTGATGTAGTTGTGCAAAGTCTATACTCATTTTAGAGCTTCTCAAACTGGTTCACCTGTACCATAAAACTTCTTTTGAAGTGTTTTGCATATTGTGTTATAACCTACAAGTTAATAAGAAATATATATAGATTAAATGTAAAGGTTATTTCCCCCAATTAATTTAAAGACTACTTTAACTGCATGAAGAACTAAAAGTTTGTACTCTTTCTAATGCTTGAAGAACTATTAAATTTGTACAATAAAGCTAGTTCTTTTTTTTTTCAGAACAATTTCAGGTATGCAACAGCTTTATTTAAATCTATAATATGCACTTTTAGTTCAAGCAACTGTATATATATAGTTATTCTTTGATAGTTTATAGTTAAAGTTTATAACCCAATTACATTTACATTCAATTTCTTTATTTATATGTATATGAAATCATCAAATTTAACATTTTTCAGTGAGTACTACTAATGCAGTGTACCTGAAAATAGCAACAGCTAAGAGTTATGATGCATATATGGCAGATACAACAGATATACAGTATGCTGTGTTTGAAAATTCCATCATCACAACTGTAAGTTTTATGCTACGCCTACAGTTTACAACTAAAGGGTGGGGAGGGGGGGTGTAGTGGCTTTTATAAAATATAAAAAATCTTGGATCATAAGAAAGATAGAACTTAGTTAAAATATTTTTTTTCTAGCTGAATGGAATACTGAATTTCACAGTGGTAGACAGAATCCAGTTGTCAACAATATCGTGAGTGACCATAGAATTATTACCAATACTAAGATTTTTGATTTCTATATAATATTAATTCTTGCATTATCACATAATTTGACATATTCCTATTTGAAGACATTTTGTTGAAATTCTTGTTGTATATTCCTTTGTGACATTATTGGCAATTTTTAGCTCACCTGAGCCAAAGGCTCAAGTGAGCTTTTCTGATCACAATTTGTCCGTTGTCTGTCGTTGTCGGCGTTGTCGTTGTTGTAAACTTTTCACATTTTCGACTTCTTCTCAAGAACCACTTGGCCAATTTCAACCAAACTTGCCACAAAGCATCCTTGGGTAAAGGGGATTCAAGTTTCTTCAAATGAAGGGCCACGCCCTTTTTCAAGGGGAGATAATTATGATTTAGAGAAAAATTAATGGCATTTTAAAAAAATCTTCTTCTCAAAAACCACTGGACCAGGAAAGATGAAATTCATGTGGAATCATCCTCAGGTAGTGTAGATTCAAGTTTGTTCAAATCATGACCCCCGGGGCTAGGGTGGGGCCAAAATGGCCGACCCAAGTTTTACATAGGAAGATATAGGAAAAATCTTTAAAAATCTTCTTCTCAAGAACCACTGGGCCAGGAAAGATGAAACTCATGTGGAATCATCCTCAGGTAGTGTAGATTCAAGTTTGTTCAAATCATGACCCCCGGGGCTAGGGTGGGGCCAAAATGGCCGACCCAAGTTTTAAATAGTAAAATATAGGAAAAATCTTTAAAAATCTTCTTCTCAAGAACCACTGGGCCAGGAAAGATAAAACTCATGTGGAATCATCATCAGGTAGTGTAGATTCAAGTTTGTCCAAATCATGACCCCCGGGGCTAGGGTGGGGCCAAAATGGCCGACCCAAGTTTTACATAGGAAGATATAGGAAAAATCTTTAAAAATCTTCTTCTCAAGAACCACTGGGCCAGGAAAGATGAAACTCATGTGGAATCATCCTCAGGTGGTGTAGATTCTAGTTTGTTCAAATCATGACCCCCGGAGCTAGGGTGGGCCAAAATGGCCGATCCAAGTTTTACATAGGAAGATATAGGAAAAATCTTTAAAAATCTTCTTCTCAAGAACAACTGGGCCAGGAGAGATGACATTCATGTGGAATCATTGTCAGATTGTGTATATTCAAGTTTGTTCAAATCATGACCCCCAGGGCTAGGGTGGGGCCAAAATGGCCGACCCAAGTTTTACATAGGGATTTATAGGGAAATCTTTTAAAATCTTCTTTTCAAGTACTTCAAAGCTATGATTAGTGATATTAATATGGAACCATCTTCAGGTAGTGTAGATTCAAGTTTGTTCAAATCATGGCCCCCAGGGCTAGAGTGGGGCCAAAATGGCCGACCCAAGTTTTACATAGGAAGATATAGGAAAAATCTTTAAAAATCTTCTTCTCAAGAACCACTGGGCCAGGAAAGATGAAACTCATGTGGAATCATCCTCAGGTAGTGTACATTCAAGTTTGTTCAAATCATGACCCCCGGGGCTAGGGTGGGGCCAAAATGGCCGACCCAAGTTTTACATTGAAAGATATAGGAAAAATCTTTAAAAATCTTCTTCTCAAGAACCACTGGGCCAGGAGAGATGAAACTCATGGAATCATTGTCAGATTGTGTATATTCAAGTTTGTTCAAATCATGACCCCCAGGGCTAGAGTGGAGCCAAAATGGCCGACCCAAGTTTTACATAGGGATTTATAGGGAAACCTTTAAAAATCTTCTTTTCAAGTACTTCAAAGCTATGATTAGTGATATTAATATGGAAAACATCTTCAGGTAGTGTAGATTCTAGTTTGTTCAAATCATGAACCCCTTGGGGGTTAAAATTCAAGCCCCCCCCCCCCCCCAAGTAAACTTTCAGTACTGATCTGATATGTGCTTTTTCCTAGCCAATGTGCTCAGGTGAGCGCTGTGGCCCCTGGGCCTCTTGTTTAGTTTAACTGTCACTGAGGATGGAAAGTTGTGTATAAAAAAAATTTGTGTTTGTACAATGGATTCAGGATATCAGAACTGTAAGCTAACCTTTATTTCAGATAGATATGAAATCTGATATAGAACTTATGAATATTTCTGGTGTTTCAGGGCTTTGTCCACTGGAACAAAATTACATGTAACAGTCTTCCTGAAAACTTCGTCTGACCCAGATTTTGTGACCCTGATTGCCATCAGGGTCAATAAGAGAATAGACACTGTAGGGTGTATAACTCTTGTTGGTAGTTGTGTGCCTTTGTTAGAGAATACAGTAATATTGGATGGAACACAAGAAGGTTAGATTATTTCAGTGTTTGTAAAATGACAAAATTGCCCTTACCAAAATAAAAGCCTTCTGGCACATAGTTGCAGCAAGTTTACTGCAAAGTTGCCGCAACCTTGCGGCAAATATTTGCGGCAAACTTGCCGCAAATAGATTTTTCGTATGCAAATTTTTTTCTGGCACACAGTTTGCGGCATATTTGCGGCAAAGTTCTGGCACATTTGCGGCAAACATTTCAAATCCTTACATTATGCACTTAGCTGCAAGTTTGTGGCACACACTTGCGGCACATTTCTGGCATATAGTTTACTGCAAATTTGTGGCACACACTTGCGGCACATTTCTGGCATATAGTTAACTGCAAATTTGTGGCACACACTTGTGGCACATTTCTGCATATACAATTCCATAAGCTAATATACTTTACCTAAACAAATTAATTTTAAAAGAACGTGATTAAACATGACAGCAACATGTAATACATGTACTATAAAAAAAAAGAACATTTAAGCCATTTTAAAAATTATTTATGAAAATTTCAAGGTAAAAAGGTACATGTATATATAACACTAACTATAATATTAATGTTTAAAAAAAAAACTTGCACAGTATGGAACAAAATCTGTTGATTGAACAGTTACACTGTATACATCAGATAGAGAAAGACACAGATTAAAAAAAATAAATTCACAACCTTTGAGTAATATAATGGCACAAATTTACATTGGTCATTATTCAAAATGAATAAAGGATTTGTAGTTAACAACAATCACAAAACATTTTACATCAAAGGAAAGATTCACCTTTTACAATGAATTTCAACTGCACATATCAAAGTAATAGTGCTGCACGATATGAATAAAAACATATAAAGTATTTTGACAAATTAAATCTCACAATATTATTTACACAGTAAAGGCGACCATTTTGTTCAGTGTCTTGATTCTATCACTTTTAAAAAAACAACAACATAATCCCCTTGAAGAATCCATGTCATGTTGAAAGAGTGTCCTCATCTGTTGCATTTCCCATTAATTGATTGATTGTATATTGTTTAAAGTCCCTCATGAGAATTTTTCACTTATATGGAGATGCCAACATCTGCCGTGGGAGAGCTGCAAATTTTGTCCTATACTACATTAATTGGCACTCAGGGCCATTGAGCAGGGAAGATCTTTTTTGATCATCACCTACTGCAACATGGGACCTCAGTTTATACAGTCTCATCCGAAGGATCCACAGTGGATTTCAACTCCTTACTTCGTGACTCGAGAGCAGACGCTCTAACCATGCGGGCGACACATTTGATAGGAATATTTATTAACTACTTTCTTGGTATAGTACTTCAAGTTCACTCTGACATTTCAACTAACTTTTCATGATTGGGGGGGGGGGGGGGGGGGGGGGGGGGTTCCTTTCCAACATTATGCAAGTACCTATTAAAAAGATAGAAAGAAATTACTCGCATTGCAGTCATTGAAACCAATAGTTATTTAAGCAATGAATTAAACCTAATTTTGACCTAGAGATCCCACATTTGTATCTTGTTTTGTGTGCATTAAAATCATATTAAATGGCATTTCAGGATAGATTGACAAACAAGGATTCAAAAACAACACTTCCTTAAATAAAACTACATGCTTCTTTGACAAATTATATAATGTAAAGTGTATTTTATCATTTGTTTATTTGTTTATATGACATAAACATTTATATGGACCTAATTCTTAATTGTGATTACTTACTTTTAGTCCATCTCTTAGTTAGCAGAATCCTTTCCTGCAGATAAATGCCCTCCTGATCTATTCTTTGTGGAAGGTTTACTGATTCATCATCAGTCCATCTGGATAGAACAAAAAATAAAAACATATTCTATATCGACCCAATTTGTTATGAACAAGGGCTGTAAAAATTCTAACTGGCTCAGCAAATACAGTCAAGTCTTATTTCTATGTTAAAAAGACATCAGTGTTATACAATTTTTTTAAAAATACTCACATTCTCTCTTTATCCACGGTCTATGTTGCTGTTTTCTCCTTTCTCTTTGTTCTTGTCATGAGTCATGACCCAGGTGGTTTAAAATTGGCGCAAACTTCTAAACCGGATGTGAACTGATAAGCCGTTCTTAGATAGGTCTGTAACGCAACAGACAAGTCGTTCCTAAATCTTTATGGCACACTTTTGGCACACAATGATTTTGATAGTTAAAAGAAACATTTCTGGTACACTTCTGGCACACTATATAAATAAAAGGCATCTAAGGGAAAATTGTGGCATACTTCTGGCACATATGTGCATCAGATCATTTAATGTGCCGCTAGAAGTACATATGTGCCCCTAGCAGCACACAATGAACCACAAGTGGCATACTGTGTGCTGCTAGCTGCATTTACTGCACACTTCTGGCATACTGTTCTGGTACATAGATTTGTTTGCCGCAAACTTGCTGCAAGCTTGCCGCAAACTTGCAGCAAACATTTCATTTTGGTAAGGGTGTACAGTCAAATACAAATAAACTTTCAAAAAGAGTATACATTTGTGGCAGTCAGCCGGATTCGATCGCCGGTGGCCAGATAGCTCAGTTGGTAGAGCACCTGACCGGAGTTTCAGGGGGCCCGGGTTCGAATCCCGGTCTGGTCCGCTGCATTTTCTCCTCTCCCGTTACACATTCTTACAGTAAAACTTGGATAAAGTATGTCACTTGGACTTAGTTTTCTTTTCTTATAACCAACTTAAAGATTCTTTGTCACTGGTTGCAAGCAAAAAAATTGACCTTAAATTTATTTTCTTTGATACAGTTCCAGTGGTATGCAAGACCTGTTCAGAAAATGCCACATGTATCACTAATTCCCCAGGCTGGTGGAATTGCTTCATGTAAGTTAATGACTGAAGATTCATTTGTACATGTATACCCCTACTAGAATGAAGTTTGATAAATGTACAATATAATTGATGTAAATTTGGAGATATCTCAAAAGTATACAATTATTATCACTTGTTAGTATGTTAGATATATTAGATTATAATCAAGCAATTGCACTAAACTGTCAGTTATTAGGAAGTTAATTTGATTGAACTGTTTGAAACCTTATGTTAATTATTATAATAAATAAACGACTATTAAGGCTATCTAAATTTAATTCCTTGGTTCTCAGGCCTATTTTCTCCAAAACAGATGCGGGAGGGCGGCATTTTATTTTTCATTTTATTGGCAATAAAGTAGATGAGGGAGGTTTTCTTTTTTTATTTTAATTTCCGAATTTTCTTTAAAATAAAGATAATTTTTTTAATCACAGATATACTTTCCATTTCTGGTCAAATTCTCTGCCTTATCCATTGCTTAACAGCGTGTAAACATCGTAGGTAATGTCCTCAAATGTATTTTCAAACGAAGTAGCCAAAATCTCATTGTAAATGGCTACCGGAAGTGATATTTGAATACTAAACTACGAAACAAATGAGGGCGGAATTTTTTTTCCCGGATTGGTCTCCGCAATACCCACTTTTTATTTTTTAAAAAATACAATAAAATCGGCAATGCGGCTACCTCAAAACGGATGCGCGCGGGCCTGAGAACCAAGACTTCAATTTTATATAGCCTAAAGTCAAAGTATAATAATGAATAGCTTTGTTTCTGTAATTGTTATATTTATCTTATTACAGAAGTTCTAATGTAATTCCACCTACTACAACTGTTCCCACAACAACAACTGAAACATCAACAGGTAAGAATTATTGCATAGTCCCTGGTTTAATTATGTAGATGTATTTTTCTTTTGTTTTGTTTATTGTACCATCACTCCATTCGAAATTATATGGGCAGCATATGTTTAAAGAAACTTTCCCAGAATCTTTTTTAAGGGAGGGCATATTGCTTTGCTGCTCTCTGTCGGTCCACTTGGTTTCCATTCATTTTCTTCACAACCGTTGCACATACTGAAATGAAATTTGGTATGCCGATATATTACATGAAAATCTGGGTCAAGTTCTGTTTTGGGTACGATCGCGCCAGTTTTAGCTCACCTCAACGAAGTTGGGGGAGCTTATGTAATACCCTCACCGTCGGCGTTCCAGGTTAAGGTTAAGTTTTTAGCTTTACTGGTCAGAGACCAGAAGAGCTTATGCGATAGTAATGCGTCCACCGTCCGTCCGTCTGTCTGTAAACAATTTTTCAAAATGCTACTCCTCCCACAGTTTTGGTCCGATTTCAATATTACTTACCACACAAGTAGACTACACTAAGATACATAATTCTGTGCATCGGTTTTTGATTTCAATGAACGATGTTGCTATGGTTACTAAAAATAGAAATTTCTATGAAAAACATTCAAAATGCTACTCCTCCTACAGTTTTGGTCCAATTTCAATATAACTTGGCACACAAGTAGACTACACTAAGATACATAATTGTATGCATTGGTTTTTGCTTTCGATGAACGGTGTTGACATGGTTACTAAAAATAGAAATTTCTGTGAAATTCTTTCAAAATGCTATGTCTCCTACAGTTTTGGTCTGATTTCAATATAACTTGGCACACAAGTAGACTACACTAAGATACATAATTGTGTGCATTGGTGATTACTTTAGATGAACGATGTTGCCCTGGTTACTAAAAATAGAAATTTCTGTGAAATTCTTTCAAAAAGCTACTCCTCCTACAGTTTTCGCTCGATTTCAATTTAACTTGGCGCACAAGTAGACTACACTGAGATACATAATTCTATGGATCAGTTTTTATTTTGATGAGTGGCAAGGATCATTTTTCTATTTATTGCTTTTTTAAAGTCTCAAGTCCCAACTGCTACTTTTCTCTGCCTTTGTTTAAGTATAAACCAGTAGAGCTACAGTCTCGACAGAGACTTCTGGTTTGGAGCAGTTTTCTTTTCAGTACTTCTATGTCCTATATTGATTAGACATGCATGGAAGATGTTTCTAATGTGTTTCATTGTACCAGTCAAAGTTTCAGATGCTGCAATTTCAGCAAAGGCACCCCTACTAATGTTATTGTGATTTAAATTCAAGACACGTGGTTTAGGTTTACCTATTCAAAGGTTATAGGGTAGAACCGGTTTTATAAATAAAAATGGCAGTAAACAGGAAATTGCTATAGTCTGTTTCTTCTGAAAACATGTCCTGTGAAAAATATGTTTCCAGACCATTCTGAAAGACTTTCATGATTTCCAACAGAAATGGGTGGCTAAAGGGGGGATAAAAATTAATACATCTTATCATAGTTTACTACAAAAATCACAGCTCAATAGCGACCGATACGCTAGTAAAAAAATGTGTAAAATTATTTACACTGACAAACCTATGTTTGCCTTATATGGCTTTTGCTATTAATGCGCACAGAGGATCTTACCACGAGCAACTGACCAATTGTTGATTGAATACGTTTACGCAATATACATATGTACATGTTTACATGTTACTTCGAACACGTGGTTCAGGTCAATCTATGATCATGTCAATGGAGTGCAAAATAAAAAAAATGTTCTTATGAACAAAATGCAAACATTAGAAACTATGAAAGATATCACGGGGCTCACGGGCGTTTATAATTTGTTGTTAACTAGAGAAAAATATGTTTTATAAAATGTATATGTAGTTAGTGTCAAGTTCAGAACACCAACACTCCAAGGATAAGGAAAACGAGCACCCTTCTCGTATGCATTTAAATGGACAAAACATTTTTTACGTAACTATACTCGTTATCACGTGAGTTGGCCAGGGAATCTACCTGACAATTGTATTCACCGTACAATAAAGAAATTTATCAAGCGTAAAATTCCTGTAGTATTCGTAGTAACCCATAATGCAATTCTCATTCAGCTCATTTGTCAGTTAAAGTCACATTGGTGCCCCATTTGCTAATCTGACGCCAAAAATATAGTCCCGGTTCCCATGCAAAATATTTGTCCAAAAAGAAATTTTAATTCATGACAGCAGAAAATTGTATCATAAAGAATACTTATAATTAAAACTTGAATGAATTCAAGAGAGATCTATTGAAGTACATTTCTACAGAATGATATTATAGGGTGGTGAAAACTAAAACGCAACATAACTTTTCTGTTTACCATGTCTCCACGTGCTAGTCACTTCCTAGCCACATTTCCCTGAATAATTTACCCTATCTCGCTGAAATCTCGCTAACTCTTGCCAGAGCTACTGTCAGAGCTTCTCTGAACTCATCGGATTTTATAATTTGCAGAACACCGAAAAAGAAAAGGTTCCGAACACATTAGCAGAGGTGAAAGGAATGACCAGGTTAATGTTTTTGGAGCAGGTTAACATTTTTGGTGCAGGTTTTGGTGTAGGTCTCATTTCCAAGTAACTATAAGCCCTAAGTTGACCAAACTTGCATGGATGGTGCATTTAAGGATGCACATTACCAGGCTTGCTTCGGATGCTGAATCTGACCTTTATTTTCCGGTTTGGTGAACAGGTTAATGTTTTTAGGTCTCATTTCCAAGTAACTATAAGCCCTATGTTGACCAAACTTGCATGGATGATACATCTAAGGATGTACACTACCAGACTTGCTTCAGATGCTGAATCTGACCTAAATTTTCTGGTTGAGTGAACAGGTTAATGTTTTTGGTGCAGGTCTCATTTTCAAGTAACTATAAGCCCTATGTTGACCAAACTTGAATGGATTATACATCTAAGGATGTACAATACCAGGTTTGCTTCAGATGCTGAATCTGACCTACATTTTCCGGTTGAGTGAACAGGTTAATGTTTTTGGTGCAGGTCTCATTTCAAAGTAACTATAAGCCCTATATTGACCAAACTTGCATGGATGATACATCTAAGGATGCACATTACCAGGCTTGCTTCGGATGCTGAATCTGACCTACATTTTCTGGTTGAGTGAACAGGTTAAATTTTTTGTGCAGGGTTCATTTCCAAGATACAATGAGCCCTAAAATGACCAAACTTGCATGGGGTACATCTAGGATGCATGCTACCAGACTTTCTTCAGATGCTGAATCTGACCTACATTTTCTGGATGAGTGAACAGGTTAAAGTTTTGGGGCAGATTTAATTTCCAAGTTACAATGAGCCCTATAATGACTAAACTTGCATGGATGATACATCTTAGGATGTATACTACCAGACTGCTTCGGATGCTGAATCTGACCTACATTTTCAGGATGAGTGAAAAGGTTCAAGTTTTTGATGCAGGATTCATTTCCAAGTAACTATGAGCTCTTTAATGACCAAACTTGCATGGATGATACATCTAAGGTTGCATTCTACCAGGCTGGCTTCAGATGCTGAATCTGACCTACATTTTTTTCTGGATGAGTGAAGAGGTTAAATTTTTATGCAGGTTTCATTTCTAAGTAACTATTAGCCCTATGTTGTGCAAACTCGCATGGATGATACATCGTAGGATGCATACTGATGGAATTGCTCCAGATGCTGAATTCGACATACATTTTCCAGATAATGGACCAGGTAAAAGTTATGGGTGCAGGTCTATCCCCAAGAAACTATACGGCTTAAATAAGCCAAACTTACCCAAATGATGCATCAAGGGATGAAAACTCTTAAACTTGCTTCAGATGCTGGATTTTGATCATATTTCATGATGAAGAACTAGTTTGGAGTTTTTATATAGGTCTATTCCAAAGTATCAGATCAAAATTGCATGAATTTTGCTTTTTGTTGGGTAATTGTGTGACTTTGCCTTACTTAAAGACAACATTCGTTGAGGTGAGCTCTGTAATCTCTGATTACCTATGTTTCTCAGAGTTATGTCCCTTAGACTTAGAAAAATTCCAATTATTTGCAGTTTCCGTTCATTTTCTTTGCAACTGTTGCACATACTGAAATGAAATCTAGCGTACAGATTTATCAGAGGTATATGTAGGTCAAGTTCTGTTCTGGGTATGATCTCACCATTTTTCGTTCATTTTCTTCACAGAGGTTGCACATACTGAGATGAAATTTGGTATACAGATTTATCAGAAAAATATCTCGGTCAAGTTTTATTTTGGGTACAATCGCACCATTTTTGACAGAGTTATGCCCTTTTGGACTTAGAAAAATTCCAATTTGGGGGGAGGGGGGCATAAGTGTTTTACAAACATTCTTGTTACATATGTTTTTGTGTACCTCTTATTTTACGTTTTGATTAGACATATTTTGAGATTCCCATAACAAGATATTTAGACTTTGCTGTTATAGATTTTTTTTTCAATAAAGTGGGTACCAATTTTGTTAATCAAGTATCTTTAATCCCCCAAATGAAATTCAGTGGAATATTTACAAAATCTCGTTTGCATATAACTTCGAAGAAATGCATTTCACCATTAAAATATGTTATATACATTTTGTTTAATTTGTACTTTAGTGAGAGCATAAATGAAGTTAAAATCAAGACTGGGGCCAAGCTTAAAAAATTCTTTGTTTGCAGTTGCCGACCTGTATTTTTATGCCCCCCTTCGAAGAAGGGAGGGCATATTGCTTTGCTGCTGTCTGTCGGTCCATTTAATTTCCGTTCATTTTCTTCATAACCGTTGCACATACTGAAATGAAATTTGGTATACAGGTATATCACATGAATATCTAGGTCAAGTTCTGTTTTGGGTACGATCGTACCATAATTGACAGAGTTATGCCCCTTGGACTTAGAAAAATTCCAATTATTTGCAGTTTCCGTTCATTTTCTTCACAATCGTTGCACATACTGAGATGGAAATTTACAGATATATCACATGAATATCTAGGTCAAGTTCTGTTTTGGTTACGATCGCACCATAATTGACAGAGTTATGCCCCTTGGACTTAGAAAAATTCCAATTATTTGCAGTTTCCGTTCATTTTCTTCGGAGAGGTTGCACATATTGAAATGGAATTTAGTATACAGATTAGTCAGATGAATATCTAGGTCAAGTTCTGTTTTGGGTACGATCGCACCCTAATTGACAGAGTTATGCCCCTTGGACTTAGAAAAATTCCATATTTTTGCAGTTTCCATTCATTTTCTTTGGAGAGGTTGCACATATTGAAATGGAATTTAGTATACAGATTAGTTAGATAAATATCTAGGTCAAGTTCTGTTTTGGGTACGATCGCACCATAATTGACAGAGTTATACCCCTTGGACTTAGAAAAATTCCAATTATTTCCAGTTTCCATTCATTTTCTTTGGAGAGGTTGCACATATTGAAATGGAATTTAGTATACAGATTAGTCAGATGAATATCTTGGTCAAGCTCTGTTTTGGGTACGACCGCACCATAATTGACAGAGTTATGCCCTTTTGGACTTAGAAAAATTCCAATTTGTGGGGGAGGGGGGCATAAGTGTTTTACAAACATCTCTTGTTTAGACTGGGTCGGTAGGTAGGCATTCTTTTTTTTTTTTTTGAAATAAAATCAGATTTTTGTTAGATAATAAATAAAAGAGGTTTTCATACACCTACTAGACATGAATAAGCTCACCTCTTGTAATAAACCACTGCGTGGTTGATAAAAAAAAATGTGTCAAAATTTGAAAACGAAACTTACAATATTCTGAAAAATTGAAAAAAAAAAAAAAAAAAAATTACCAAATGGCTAAAAAAAAAGTTTGGGTCGGGTGCATTTTCAGTGGGTCGGTAGGCAACTGCCAACAAACTTAATTTTATTTTAGGCCTGGGATATTTTTCCCTGTGCAGTATTTTTAAAATTAAGAAATAAACTATTATTTTGTGTAAAATGTTAATAATTTGAGTATAAGTAATTTCTTATTCACAGTTTCAGCAGGTCCTACTACACCCAGAACAATCATAGAGGACAAGCAGATCCTTGTGGGGGTGGGGGTAGCAGTCCCCCTGGGGGCCCTTTTCCTTACCCTCATTATTGTTCTTGGTGTTCTTCTCTGTAGGAAGTGGCATCACTGGAAACTACAAAGGTTAGTTTATGACAATAAGTTTTCTATCTCCTATCTTCCATGACATAATTGTGAGTGGTTAGCTGTAGTTGAGGATAGGGTTGGACACCGGTACATGGTACTAGTACCGTACCGAATAGTTACCTAAAAAATACAGGTAAAATACCGTTTCATTTCATACCGGTACTAATAACGGTATTTCTTAATCTTTAAAACATTGTTAAACATTCAAAGTTATTTTTTGAAAAAGATTCCAGACTCGCTAAAATATAATTCTCTGTGAATTAAAAGGGTAGGCTAATTAACAAAATCAGTACTAAGTAAGATACTTTCTTTTCTACAGCCGATATTCGAGGAAAACCAATACGTATTAAAAATATTTACATTAATCTTGTTTCAGTCTTATTAATTAATAGAAACTGATAGAAATTGTCAATTAAAAAGGCAAAACATTGCGAATTTGTGATGTCATCTCTCTCCATTTCTCATGTTTCGTCGTTTAGTGATACCAAGCAAAATGGCGACCGGATGAAGCGATCAGCTGTCATTTAGCAGAGAATTAGACGGCGGTGTTTAATTGTTATATTATTAGCTCTTCTGAGCCAAAGGCTCAAAGAGCTAATGCTATGGCCATTTGTGCGGTGTGCGTCGTGCGGTGTGCGTTAACTTTTTAGAATATGGGCCATAACTCAAGAACCCCTTGGCCAATCAGTGTCAAATTTGTCACAGGGTATCCTTGGCCCAAGGGCTACCATTTATACTAAAACAAGGATTGGGACCCTAAAACAAGGGGAGATAATCAGGAAAACAAAACCAAAAGTACTGGTTACTAAAAAATCTTCTTCTCCAGAACCACCAGGCAGATTTTCACCAAACTTGCACACAAGGATCAGAATATGTTGAAGATTAAAAATTGTTCGAGGCATGACCCTGGGGCAAAGGGCGTGGTCTCAAGGTCACTTTAAAGTTGACCTAAATGTACCATTAATAAAAATGTTTATATTTTGCTTACTATAAGGACTATGATCATCAAATCTTGTAAGTTGATGCATCTTAGGACTTCACATCATGTTAACTCAAAAGTAGGTCACGGTGACCTACTTTTTTAATTTTGCGGGCATTTGTTTTCAAATTGATTTTAAGGCATATTTTGGACACTTTTAGGCCTATGATCATCAAACTTGGTCAGTTGATGCATCTTGGGTCCTTGAACAACGTCAAATTAAAAGTAGGTCACCGTGACCTACTTTTTGAACTTTATGACTTATCCTTTATAAAACATTTAATCCCATTATTTCAGGCACTGAAAGGGTTAGAATCATCAAATCTTGTAAGTTGCTGCATCTTGGGACCTTGAAACATATTTTAAAAAAAGTAGGTCACAGTGACCTACTTTGGCAGGCAATTGTTTTCAAATTGTTTAAAAGGCATATTTTGATTACCTTCAGACCTACGATCATCAAACTTGGTCAGGAGATGCATCTTGGGACCCTGAAAAATGTCGACCAAAATGTAGGTCACGGTGACCTACTTTTGACATTTTATGGCTAGATTTAAGTATCTTAGGTATTTCTCGGCTTAGAATCATCAAACTTTGTGAGTTTATGCATCTTGGGTTTTCGGAGAGTGACGACCAAAAATTAGGTCACGGTGACCTACTTTCGACATTTTATGGCTATATTTCAGTATTTTTAGGTATTTATTGGCTTAGAATTATCAAACTTTGTGAGTTGATGCATCTTCGGTTTTCCAAGAATGTCGACCAAAAAGTAGGTCACAGTGACCTACTTTTGACATTTTATGGCTATATTTAAGTATCTCCGGTACTTATTGGTTTAGAATCATCATACTTTGTCAGTTGATGCATCTTGGGTTTTCCGAGAATGTCGACCAAAAAGTAGGTCACAGTGACCTACTTTTGAATATCTCAGGTATTTATTGGCTTAGAATTATCAAACTTAGTCAGCAGATGCATCTTGGGACTCTGAAAAATGTTGACTAAAATGTGGGTCACAATGACCTACTTTCGACATTTCCTGGTATATTTAAGTATCTTAGGTATTTATTGGCTTAGAATAATCAAACTTTGTCAATTGAAGCATTTTGGGTTTTTCAAGAATGTAGACCAAAAAGTAGTCCTAATTTGCTTAGAATCATCAAATTTTATCAGGTGATGCAACTTGGGTTTCAGGATACTTAGGGTTAGAGGCTTCAAATCAAGTGATAGGTTGTACAATTTATCAGAAGAGCGATTCAAGGCCCTTGGGCCTCTTGTTTTTTTATTTTATAAAGATTCAGATTAATTTGTTTTGTTTATCATTAAGAAAAAGGTTGAATTATAGAAATAGAATATATTTAACACATTTTAGATTATAACATAATGATTGAAAGTTTGGTTATAAGCGGTGATAATTGAAACTGAAAGCACATTTGTCATTAGAATAAACCCGGATTCTCATTCATCAAGGTATAGTACCGTACCGTTAAAAATACCGTATCGTTTTAAAAATACCTGTATGGTATCATACCGTTTCATCCTTAACGGTATCCAACCCTAGTTGAGGACAGTTCATTCAGCTCAAAGTTCACGGTTGATATGTAGAATTCACTACGTATTTCTGAGCGGGAACTTTATCGAAATTCAGGAGTGTAATAGTTCAAATTTTAGTTTACTTTTATTCAAAGTTATGTTAAAACATTGTGCCAGGATCATGTTCAGATGATCTTGGTTTAAATTTTTCTCATTGTGTTGTTATGTACAGTTAAACCTGTCTAATCTGACATGCACTGGAGACAAATGTTATGTCAGAATAGACAGGGAGTCGGATTGCACAGTAATCACATGAAATACATGAAAATAGCAATTTAGGAAAGAAATTTATTGTCAGAATTCACAGTGCATCTGATTGCACAGATGTCGGATTAGACAGTTTTCACTGTAGTTGTTGTTTCGTTTTGGACTATTATTATTATTATATTGATACACTTTTACAGGAATAGAGCTGAAAATTATACTGCAGGGCCACTACCCAGAAACCCTACAAGCAGAGAGAGGGTGAGTGCTTAAAACTTGTTTATACAATTATGCCTCTAATATTTATTAGGGCATATTGTTTTGCTGCTGTCTGTCTGTCTGTCCACTTAGGCCATGCAAAGTTAATTACTTGGTTCTCAGGCCTTTTTTCAAGAAATATGATGAGGGAGGGAGGCATTTTTTTTTCTTTTTTATTGCCCCCAAAACATGATGAGGCAGCTTTTTACATTGTACAAAACCTCAAAAAATGATGAGGGAGGTGATTTGGTGTTTATATTTTATTGATTTAGCAATAAAAAGGGTCAATGAGGCACCCTTGGAAGAGATGAGGGAGGGCCTGAGAACCAAGAAATTAATTTTTTTTGCCTTAGTTTCCGTTCATTTTCTTCACAGCCGTTGTATACTGAAATGAAATTTGGTATTCAGATATACCAGATGAATATCTAGGCCTAGTACTGCTTTGGGTACGGTCGCACCAGTTTTGACAGAGTTATGCCCCTTGGACTTAGAAAATCCAATTATTTTTAGTTTCTGTTCATCTTCTTTGCTGAGGCTACACATACTGAAATGAAATTTAGTATACAGATTTATCAGGCGACTATCGAAGTCAAGTTCTGCTTTTGGTAAAATCGTGCCATTTTTGACAGAGTTATGCCCTTTAGGACTTTGAAAAATTTCAATTTGGGGAGGAGGGGAGCATAAGTATTTTACAAACATCTTTTGTTATTTTTTGATTTTCATTCTGACAGAAATCTACATTCTCTGTAGAATGTAAATACTCAAGTTTGTATATTTTTGACAATTATGTGATTTGTCAAAAAAAAAATAAATGGTTGATCGAGCTATTTTTTTTTTTTAAAATACTGTAGATGCGTAATTATATGCGAGGAATAAATTTTGGCGTTATTTCATGAGAAGCATCACTCGTGAAAAAAATGTTACTCGCTTTAATTTTTATGGTGCTAAAATCTATGTAAAATCAGTTGATCAACCGTAAATTTGCGAATTATAATTCTCACGATTTAACGTTTAAGATCAAGCCAGTTTGCAATAAAAAGTACTCGCAAAAAAAAAGGAATCTACAGTATTTTCTAATAAGAAAAATTTACAATAATAGTGTACTTAATAAACCACTCTTTTATACATTAGTATTCAGAATATTTTTTGGAAAAAAAATTTTTATGAATGTATGATTTCATGTAAATGTGTCACACGTGACACAGTAAAATGTAATTATAAAATGTCATGTTTTGCAGGTAGTCTTTCGGCAGCCTATTGGACACATTAGACAACCTTCTGCCCAAGTAAGTATATTATTGGCATGTATCAAAATACCATTAAAAATTAAACAAAAGATTTAAATTTTTTTTTTCATTTTAATTTTTTATTGGTCACTGGTCACATTACGTTTTAGAGCTGTGTGGATTCAGACTCTGTTTTGTTAATTTGTGCCTGTTACATATAGGTAGAGGCATGTTCAATTTAACTTCTCATTAATGATCAACACTCACTCCTGCAGAAGCATAGAAGATGGTTCATGAATAAAACATATACTATCTAATTAGCATGAGTATTTATTATTCAAAATGTTTTTAGCTCACCTGAGCCGAAGGCTCAAGTGACCTTTTCTGATCAAAATTTGTCCGTTGTCTGTCGTCGTTGTCGTCGTAGTCGTTGTTGTCGTTGTAAACTTTTCACATTTTCATCTTCTTCTCAAGAACCACTGAGCCAATTTTAACCAAACTTGCCACAAAGTATCCTTGGGTTAAGGGGATTCAAGTTTCTTCAAATGAAGGGCCACGCCCTTTTCCAAGGGGAGATAATCATGAATAAGAGAAAAATTATTGGCATTTTTAAAAAATCTTCTTCTCAAGAACCACTGGGCCAGGAAAGATGAAACTCATGTGGAATCATCCTCAGGTAGTGTAGATTCAAGTTTGTTCAACTCATGACCCCCGGGGGTAGGGCGGGGCCAAAATGGCCAAACAAAGTTTTACATAGGAATATATAGGAAAAATCTTTTAAAATCTTCTTCTCAAGAATCACTAGGCCAGGAAAGATGAAACTCATGTGGAATCATCCTCAGGTAGTGTAGATTCAAGTTTGTTCAAGTCATGACCCCCCGGGGTAGGACGGGGCCAAAATGGCCGATCAAAATTTTACATAGGAATATATAAGAAAAATCTTTAAAAATATTCTTCTCAAGAACCACTGGGCCAGGAAAGATGAAACTCATATGGAATCATCCTCAGGTAGTGTAGATTCAAATTTGTTCAAGTCATGACCCCCGGGGGTAGGGCGGGTCCAAAATGGTCGATCAAAGTTTTACATAGGAATATATAGGAAAAATCTTTAAAGAACCACTGGGCCAGTAAAGATGAAACTCATGTGGAATCATCCTCAGGTAGTGTAGATTCAAGTTTGTTCAAGTCATGACCCCCGGTGGTAGGGAGGGGCCAAAATGGCCGATCAAAGTTTTACATAGGAATATATAGGAAAAATCTTTAAAAGTCTTCTTCTCAAGAACCAGTAGGCCAGGAAAGATGAAACTCATGTGCAATCATCTTCAGGTAGTATAGATTCAAATTTGTTCAAGTCATGACCCCCGGGGGTAGGGCGGGGCCAAAATGGCCGATCAAAGTTGTACATAGGAATATATAGGAAAAGTCTTAAAAAATGTTCTTCTCAAGAAACATTGAATCAGGAAAGATGAAAGTAATGTGAAATTATCCTCAGGTAGTATAGATTCAAGTTTGTTCAAGTCATGACCCCCGGGGGTAAGTGTGTGGCCAAAATGGCCGACCAAAGTTTTACATAGAAATATATAGGGAAACTTTTTTAAATCATCTTTTCAAGCACTTCAAAGCCATAATTAGTAATATTTATATGGAATCATCCTCAGGTAATGTAGATTCTAGTTCGTTCAAATTATGATCCCCTTGGGGGTTAAAATTCAAGCCCCCCCCTCCACTTAAGTTAACTTACAGTTCTGATCTGATATGTGTTTTTTTCCTAGCTGATGTGCTCAGGTGAGCGCTGTGGCCCCTGGGCCTCTTGTTTCTATAGCTAAACATCTTGAGTAATTTTATTGCTATTGACAACTTAACAGATGTCTGAGGTTTTTGCACACCATTTGAAAATCTTTTTTTGAACTTTGAAAATAAAACTGATTAAATGTATTTTTAGGTCACCTGAGTAAACTCAGGTGACCTTTTGCTATCTGTTTTCGTCCGTCGTCGTGCATTGTGCGTTAACATTTGAACATTTTCAGCTTCTTCTCTGCAACCACTGAACCAATTTCAACCAAATTTGGCCTAAAGCATCTATGGGTGAAGGGGAACAAAAATTTTGAATTTCATGATCCCTGCCCCCCTGGGGCCTGAGGGGTGGGGCCAAAACCACTAAAATTAATGCAATCTTTAAAAATCTTCTTCTTTACTCCTGGGCATCAAGCAGTCAAAGTGTTTGCATGATTGTAATCAGCAATGAGTCCTCTACCAAAATTGTGAAATTCATGGCCCTGGGGTCAGGGGTTCTAGTGCTAGGGCAGGGCTAAATAAGTAGGTAGTGAAAATGCATTATTTCTTTGAAAATCTTCTTCTCTGCTCCTGGGTATTAAATAAACCAACTAAGTACATAGTTATGATAAGCAAGAGTGCCTCTACCAAAATTGTGAATTTTATGGCCCCAGGGTCAGGGGTTCTAGTGTTAGGGCGGGGCTCTATAGATTATATAGTGAAAATACGTGAATTCTCTGAAAATCTTCTTCTCTGCTCCTGGGTATTGAATAAACTAACTAAGTGCATAGTTATGATGAGCAAGAGTGCCTCTACCAAAATTGTGAATTTGTTTGGCCCCAGGGTCAGGGGTTCTGGTGTTAGGACAGGGCTCTATTGATTATATAGTGAAAATACATGAATTCTTTGAAAATCTTCTTCTCTGCTCCTGGGTATTGAATAAACTAACTAAGTGCATAGTTATGATGAGCAAGGGTGCCTCTACCAAAATTGTGAATTTTATGGCCCCAGGGTCAGGGGTTCTGGTGTTAGGGTGGGGCTCTATTGATTATACAGTGAAAATACATGAATTCTTTGAAAATCATCTTTTCTGCTCCTGTGTATTAAATAAACTAAGTGCTTAGTTATGATGAGCAAGAGTGCCTCTGCCAAAATAATGAATTTTATGGCCCCAGGGTCAGGGGTTCTGGTGTTAGGGTGGGACGTATTGATTATATAGTGAAAATACATGAATTCTTTGAAAATCTTCCTCTCTGCTCCTAGGAATTAAATAAACTAACTAAGTACATAGTTATAATGAGCAAGAATGCCTCTTCCAAAATTGTGAATTTTATAGCCCCAGGGCAGGGGTTCTAGTGTTAGGGCGGGGCTCTATTGATTATATAGTGAAAATACATTAAATCTTTGAAAGTTTTCTTCTCTGCTCCAAGGTATTAAGCAGATGAACAACCTATATAGTTATGCTTGACAAGGGCCCATATCTTCCAGATTTGTGAATTTCAAGGCCCAAGGGTCAGGGGTACCATAGAAGGGGGGGCTGTACTTATATACTGAAAATGAATGAATGGTTTGAAATCTGCTTCTTGGTATTAATCAAATTTCAAGGCCTAAGGGTCAGGGATTCATGTGTGATAAGGGCACTACTGATTATTGCTGAATATTACTGATTAGTTGAAATGCATTTTTTGTTCCCTTACCCTGCATATGGGTATTGAGTAAACAAACTAAGCAACTCCTAAGTGTATTGTTATGATGATCAATGGTGCCTCTTTCAAAATTGTGAATGCCATAGTATCTGGCTTAATTGTTAAAACATGAATCAAATTCAATCACTGGAAAGTTGTTGCATAATGCTCAGGTGACCTATAAGGCCCATGGGCCTCTTGTTGAATGTATGATTCCTGTAGTTATCATATATAAAAGATGTTATTGATCTCTATTCACCATCTTCCCGCGGGGATCCGGGTTAGAATAGGTCCTCAGTACCCCCTTGCTTGTCGTAAAAGGCGACTAAATGGGGCGGTCCTTCGGATGAGACCGTATAAACCGAGGCCCCGTGTCACAGCAGGTGTGGCACGATAAAGATCCCTCCCTGCTCAAAGGCCGTAAGTGCCGAGCAAAGGCCTAAATTTGCAGCCCTTCACCGGCAATGGTGACGTCTCCATATCAGTGAAATATTCTGGAGAGGGACGTTAAACAGTATACAATCAATCAATCTATTCACCATCCCCTTTGAGAACTATTACCATGTTTGTTTTATAGATAAGACCTACCCTACGTAATGGTATACCACCCAGCTACCCCCGCTTATATCCTGTTCTGGACCATCTGCAAGGTACAACATTTAAGCACATCTATTCCAGAAATAAAGGTCTCTATCTTTGTTTACAATTACTTCTGATCATAGTTTCTTAATCTTTCAGTCATGCATATGCTAAGGAAAGCAGTAAATTTGAGGTCTTGCTAATACTTCTCTTTCAGATGACCGTCGGTCAGGTCGAACATCAAGACAAAAGGACAATGTAAGATTTTATTACTAAAGTCTGCTTTTTATAATAATATATTATGCATATGAAATATTTCAAGTGTTAGGGAGAAAAAACTCATAATTTTGTTTTTTTACAGTTTGCTTTGCAGCGTCCTTTGGTGGATCAAAGACCCAGTACTATATACAACTCCTAGGTTTGTTGTTATGTATACATTCTGAAATATACATGTATATAATCACATGTATAAGTAGAGACCTCAGAAAGCGAAACATTATAAGAATTATTCTTGTATATCCAATAAAAGAAATACACTAGTTTTATTAACCCTTTCAAAGTATTTTTTATCTAATACTTTTTACAGGCCCTTTGACTGGAGGAAGGGTGATTGGTGTTTTAACCGTGGATGTGCTACTGTTGCTTTTTCTGTTCCATATCTCTCTCCAAGTTGCGGGCCTGTTGCTTCATCATCAGTTTCAAGATGTGGCTTACCAGTAGTATCGTCCTTGAATTTTTCCAAAAGTTACTAGTGATGTACAGTATTTATTTTCTTTTTTTTCCTAATTACAAGAGAATGTGGATTTATCTATATGTTGCTGATTCATTGACTCTATTATGTTCATTGTTTAGTTAAATATACATTCAATATCCTTTGAATGTTTTATATCTTTTGAATATTTATTTGTTAAATGATTTTTGAAAAAAATATAGGGATTATATTATAATTTTTACAAACAAATCGTTATATTTTTGACAATATTTTTGCTACATATTTATTAAATATATACAGTGTTATTTTTGACAATATTTTTGCTACATATTTATTATATAGAGAGTTATGTCTACAAATGTTATAACTTTTTATATTTTTCAACAGAAGTTATAATAAAACTATCTTTTAAAATTAATGGCTTAGCATTGTTAATTTGTTTCCGTAGCATTCTTGCGGGGAAGTGTGTTTTATGATCGAAAAGTAGGTGACCTCATTTAGATATTCTAAGCTAAACTTAATTGTTCAAATTATCATCGTAAAATTTCAGAGTATTAAACCTAATTGCCAGTTGATATGCCTTTTGCACTGCACACCTTTTCATACTTGAAATGAAGCATAAAATTGGGAGGAGTTGACCTAAAAACCTTGTGTTGAAATTATACATGACCCAACCTTGTTCATTGTTGTGGTCACAATTTAAGGAAAAACCATTACAGCTTTTAGTGTTGTATTTACTTATATAAGCATCATTAGGCAACCAAAGAAAGACTTTGATTTTTAAAGTCAAGCTGCATTGAATGAGGAAATGAAGAGAACAATTTGGTCTCAGTATTGTGAAGAAGTGTACAGGAGAAAGATAATGGCTGAGTGTTAAAAATATATTGTAGACAGGCAAAACTGAATTTCAACATTGAATGAAATGATTCTAATAATATATATTGATTTGACCACCAGTAATTAGAAGGGACAAAATGTTGATCAAGTTCAAAGAATAATATTCAATTGCTTGTCCTGACTAAAGGACTTGAAATAGAGAACATTAGAGGAGGCTTGTATACTTATGTATATTGATCTTGCCCCAGGGTCATTCCAGAAAGGTTAAGGTCACTGTACTGTAATAGGAAAGAAGAAATGAATGAGGAAAACATGGGTTGACAGGGAATCAAACCCGGAACCCCTGCATTACTAGTCAGGTGCTCTAACCACTGAGCTATCCAGGCCCACAGCCATGGTCCGTAAAGACCGAACTTCTACATTCCTCCCTCCTTAAACAATCTTCGACCTGGAAGACACAAATTCTAGGGCCCTGCCAGGAATTACTAATTTACACATACATTGTAACCAGGTTCCAAGACTATAAACTGAGAACAGACTTGAGTCAAGATTTTAAATCTAGCTTTTGAAATAATTTTGATATAAACAAGACAAAGTTTTTACCATATGTTTTGAATAAATAATACAATTCCGCAAATTTTGGATGATGTATTATAAATGACAAGCTATTCAAAATAAAAATTTTGACTTGTATCAGTATTCATGTATGCAAACTTAATTTGTTAACCAGATTAAAGTTCCAGTTATTGGTTAATTTTTCTTCTGAGACATTTATTTCAATTCATTTTACTTCTAGGAAAGAATTTAAATCATTTTATTTTACCAAGAAGTCCATGGGCCACAACACTCACCAGAGTCAAACTAGCCTTGCAGTTTCTCCCCTATATATTCCCCTCTGTAAAACTTGAGTTGTTCCGTGTCCAACCTTTGGAGTCCATGTTTTGAACAAACTAATGAACACGACTTAATGATGTTCCCATGTCTAATACTTATTGCAGTTGCAAAGTTTCAAGTCCAAGTGGAATGCTATAATTATAAGGCAGTAGAGCTATGGTCTTGTCAGAGACTTCTAGTTTTCAAATTTGTCACAGAGGATCCTTGGCCCAAGAGCTCTCGTTTATACTACGGATATGATCCTTAATCAAGCGGAGATAAATAAGAAAACTAAAAAATACTCTTCTCAAGAACCACTTTGTAGACTATCACAAAAAGTATACACAGGGATGCATCTTGAAAAGGATGTGGATGTATTTTAGATTAAAAATTGTTCAAGGCATCTCCCTGGGGCAAAGAATAAGGTCTCAAGGTCACTTCAAAGTTGACCAAAAACTATATATATTCTAAACTTCAAGTTTTCAATATTTTTTTTATATATAGATACAATCCAAGATTGTCAAAGTTTTGCCTTGGACATTGAAGTTGATTTTCTTTCTCTTTTCCTCTTTTATCAGAATCAGAAGGCATTATACTTTAGAAAACTCCAGAAATCAATAGACATTTGTAAGAGCATGCGTTCTATACATAATTCATCCTTCAGATTATATTTGTTAAAATATAAATTATGTAAGTTACTTAAAACAGTGAGACTTTAGCTATAAGATAATTTATGGTAAAATCAATCTCAGTCCAAATCAGGTAGGCACATCAGGTGATAAACTACTTCGTTTAGACAAGGTCAAATGACTTAGAAGTCATGACATTTTCAGTTGTAATACTTTCACATTCAACACTCTAAGGACATGTAATCAGAGGCTTTAAACCTTTCAAGTATGATCCAAAGAACCATACAACAAAAATATGCAGCATATAGACTTATTACAGTCGCTTTTTAGCTCAACTGAATGAGCTCTTCTGGTCGAAAGAACTTTATTCGGTAATAACCAATATTTGCCCCCCAAATCAAACTTTGATGGAGATATATTTAATTAAGTTCTTAAACAGGGGAGTATATACTGACTTCAAAGCACTGAATATTTTCACAAGTAATGACGCCATATGTACGTAATGACGTCACAAACATGACGTAAATGTCAGGGTTTTTTTTATGAATTTTACAGAAAATTGTACATATTTCGTCGATATTTTGAGTAAAAGTCACCGAGCGCATGTGTGTTCAGGATCGATTTTTTGATATAATGTGTAGAATGATAATATCAATGAAATATTTAAATATTGTTCCTGAGCAACCTTGCGCTCTATACATTTTAAAGCTAAAATTGTTGAAATTTCATCCATTTTGTCGTCTTTCTGAAAAAGGATATAAAATCGGACTAGTTTGTGACGTCATAAAAACAAAAATTGTGAATACACTGCTTTGACACTATAATATTTACTGTTAATTTATATTTCTCATACAATTTATTGAATTCAGCACATTTCAGGAAGTTTTCAAAATTTGACTTTTGTGGGGGCAAATATATGCAATATCCCGCATATAGTTCTTTGTCCGTTGTCTGTCATCGATGTTGGCATTAGACATCGTCTTTGTTGTAAACTTTTCCCATTTTCACCTCCAGAACCACTGTGCTAATTTGAAAATGAAACTCATGTGGAATCATTGTCAGGTGGTGTAGATTCACGTTTGTTCAAATCATCGCCCTCAAGGGTATAGGCCGGTGGGGCAAAAATGGACGATCCAAGTTTTAGAAAGGAGTATATAGGAAATATACTAAAAAAAAAGACCTGATCAAAAACAGCAAAACGATGATTGGTCATATTTACATGGAAACATGCTGAAGTAGTGTAGATTCAAGTTTACCAGATGCACAAGTGCCACACAGGACAAGTCCGTTCAAATTTAGAAGTGTTGAACGTAGAAACTCTGTCCTCAGTAGACTGATTAAAGTGTGGCTCTTCAAAAAATAAAAACAGACAAAACAATGATTTTAACAATAATCTATTATCAAATTTTTACCATAACATTTTTCTTCAAAATCAAACTTGAAGCAAAAGAGATGTTCAAGAAATGGTCTCTGGATGAATTTTCATATACTTTTTAAATGTCTATTTAAAGCCAAGAAACTTCATGATGCGTCTTTTGAGTCCTCTTCTTTTTGCAGGAAAGATTTTCTAAAAGAAAAATTAAAAAAAAACTTTGCAGACATATTTTTTGTTTCTGAAATGTTGTCTTCAAAAGACAGTCATATTTAGCAAAAATGTTACATGTAAATCTAACAATGTCCTCCAAAAGAACTAGATAACAGAGTGTGAGCTTACGTTTTCTTTGATAAGTTCATGGTTTTCATCTGAAGCCAGTGCAGAAGAGGCCATTGGAATGGACACGGGTTCTTTTTGCATTGCATTCTAAAGAGAAAGAATTAGTCAGTTTTGTATTTGTTAATAGATGTTATCTAAAAAAACTGATGTGTATTGAGCATCGCCTTTATACAGCATGAAATAAAAACTTGACTGAATTTTACCTGAGTATTGTCTTTAAAAAAATCCACGTTGAACAGAAAAAGCTTTCGGGGTACAAATGATTCAGCACTTTCATCATCTGTTATCTTCATTTTTGCCATGTATATATAGTTGGAATTCTTTAAATATAATATAATAAAAAGAATTAAGAAAATGCTAAATTCTGTGTAAGGCTAGCTGGTCTGAAAAAGAAATTGGGATGGACGACCTCAGAGAGCTTTACAGTGACACCCATAGAGAAGATTGTATATTTTTTCGCGCCAAGAAGTGCACTGTCTCCCCTTTTTCTACCAGATTATTGTACTCCTACAAAACTGTATGTACAAGTCAAAACATAAAACGCATTGGAACAAATTATCCTGTCATTAAATATGCTAATCCTATGGTATATTAGTATGATTACTGGGCGAAATTTTCGATAGTCTCAATTTCAAGCCCAGAAGGGCAATAAACAACGTAACAGTTTTGGGAAATGCTTTGCTGTGTAAGTAATGAAAGCATTTGTTAGGAACATGAGGTTCGTAATTTTTTTTTAAATACATGTACATGTAGCACCAGAAATAAATGGAAAGAGAAATCAAGAAACAGTGCACTTTTTTAAATATAATTTTTTCCAATGGGTGGCTCTACAACTCTTCGTCCATCCCATTTTTTTTTAAAGATGGCCAGCTACATATGCTATCACTGCAGAACTGTAGAATAATGATTTTTTTTTTTACCTTCGTCTTTGACCATGACGCTACAGATCCCGTAATGCAAAAAAAGGTGCAATTTACGGCGCAAGATTTTTTGCGCACTTTTGGGAGAGAATTTAATTCTCCACATTCCAGCATTGGTCAACCAAATATCTTTCGCTCCCGTATTCTAGACACATTCATTAACCAATCTCTATTTTTTATCCACCTCCCTACCCTTCATAGTCGTCTCTGAAAATGATTAACGCACGTGATTTGAATTGGCTTTTAAATTGCTGAAAATTCACCTCAAGCGAGTTTGTCGCTTGTAGAGACGAATATAAAAGGTCAGAAGGTGGATGAAATACACAGCTTGGTAAAAATGTGTCTAGAAAGAGGGAGTGAACGGTAGTTGATTGACCAATGCTGAAATGTGGAGAAATTCTCACCAAAAGTGCACAAAAAATCTTTCGCCGTAAATTGCACCTTTTTTACATTACGCGATCTGTAAAGTTATGGTCAAAGACAAATATATAAAACCATAACGCTACAGTTCTGCAGCTACACATGCTATAGAACTACAGTTAGTACTAGGCCACACCAATTTAATTTCTTGTGTGTCAGATATCTGATCAAAAAAGTACGGAAAGTGAGCAATTGAGTAATAACAAATACATTTTAAAGCAAAACATGTACTTTTGTTCTGCAAAATATTGCATAAATTTATAAAAATGTCGTTTGCGTGTCCAAATAACTCAGTCATCGATTTACAGATGAACTGTGGGACAGTTTCAATTGTCAAAACTTAACTAGAAATTTCAAACCTTATTTTAAGGAGGAGTGTAAAATATGATTTACAAATATTATAAAGTTAATTTGATATTCCTTTAGATAAATTATCTATAAAGTGTAATTAAATTACAATGTAATTACTTCCTACCAAAAGCTCTAAATGGACAGCTGCCATAATGGTTTTGGCTCTCTGCATCTCCGTTTGTTCTCGTACGTTAATACCAGCTCTTTTTTTAATCGTGTCCTAGTAAATAAAATTTTTATTGAACTAGATTTCCAAATTCTATTTTTTGGACAACTGATTTATCAGTTTAATTAAATATCTATAGACTGTATGATGATTTTATTAAATCATTAGGGAATGTACCAATTAATTGAGGAATTGGGATGCAAGATATATATTTTTCAATATATATACGTACTCTAAACGTATGGCTTATCTTTACAGCATGAAAGACCCATAGGAATAATTTCCATAAGGGAATAAATTGAGGATTTATGATCAAGTTAGATGACCCTAAAAATACCTCAGTCATCAATTTACAGATGAACTGTGGGACAGTTTTAATTTTTAAAACTTAAGTAGAAATTTCAAACCTTATTTTAAGGAGAAGTGTTAAATATAATTTACAAATATGATAACATTAATTTGATATTCCTTTGGATAAATTATCTATAAAGTGTAATTAAATTACTATGAAATCACTTCCTACCAAAAGCTCTGAATGGACAGCTGCCATGATAGTTTTGGCTCTCCGCATCTCCGTTTGTTCTCCCAAGTTGATACTGGCTCTTTTTTTAATTGTTTCCTAGTAAATAAAATTTTTATTGAACTAGATTTCCAAATTCTATTTTTTGGACAACTGATTTATCAGTTTAATTAAATATCTATAGACTGTATGATGATTTTATTAAATCATTAGGGAATTTACCAATTAATTGAGAAAGTAGGATGCAAGATATTTACTTTTCAATATATATACTATAAATGTATGGCTTATCTTTACTGCATGAAAGACCAATAGGAATAATTTCCATAAGGGAATAAATTGAATGAATTGATGATTGATGATAAAGTTAGATGACCCTAAAAACACCTCAGTCATCAATTTACAGATGAACTGTGGGACAGTTTTAATTTTTAAGACTTATAAGTAGAAATTTCAAACCTTATTTTGAAGAGGAGTGTTAAATATGATTTTCAAATATTATAACATTAATTTGATATTCCTTTGGATAAATTATCTATAAAGTGTAATTAAATTACAATAAAATCACTTCCTACCAAAAGCTCTGAATGGACCGCAGCCATGATGGTTTTGGCTCTCCGCATCTCCGTTTGTTCTCGCAAGTTAATACTGGCTCTTTTTTTCATTGTGTCCTAGTAAATAAAATTTTTATTGAACTAGATTTTCAAATTTTATTTGTTGGACAACTTATTTATCAGTTTAGTTAAATTTCTTTTTAACTGTATGATAATTTTATTAAATCATTAGGGAATGTACCAATTAATTGAGGAAGTGGGATGCAAGATATTTATTTTTCAATATATATACTCTAAACGTATGGCTTGTCTTTACAGCATGAAAGACCCTAAGGAATAATTTCCATAAGGGAATAAATTGAGGATTTATGATCAACTTAGATGACGCTAAAGATACCCCAGTCATCAATTTACAGATGAACTGTGGGACAGTTTTAATTTTTAAAACTGAAGTAGAAATTTCAAACCTTATTTTAAGGAGGAGTGTTAAATATGACTTACAAATATTATAACATTAATTTGATATTCCTTTGGATAAATTATCTATAAAGTGTGATTAAATTACAATGTAATCACTTCCTACCAAAAGCTCTGAATGGACCGCAGCCATGATGGTTTTGGCTCTCCGCATCTCTGTTTGTTCTCGCAAGTTAATACTGGCTCTTTTTTTCATTGTGTCCTAGTAAATAAATTTTTTATTAAACTAGATTTCCAAATTTTACTTTTTGGACAACTTATTTATCAGTTTAGTTAAATATCTATAGACTGTATGATGATTTTATTAAATCATAATCAATATATACCCAAACGTATGGCTTTTCTCTATAGAATGGCAGATCCATAAAAATTTCCATAAGGGAATCTGGAAATGGGATGTAACAAAACAGAAATTCTTTGACGGGCCCCAAAAGGGATCTGATATTACTCATGCATAACTTTACCGTACTATCAAAGGAAAAAATTCAAGATGTCTGGGGATTCAAGATATGTTTGTAAAATACTTAAAGAAGTGTCGGCATGTTCTTGTGACTAAGATTTATGCATGGTATTCAAGAAGGCAGTGTTTTAGATACTAAAATTCAACTGTATAGATAACACTTATACTTATATCACTGTACCTACCAAAAGCTCTCTGTGAAGAGGTTCTGTTTGTCGTATCTTTCTGGCCAATTCTCTCTGTATTTTCTTCACAATGGCTGCATTGTCCTATTAGAAAATGATAATCTAATGCATCAAAATTGTTATTTTTTAAAAACTCAAATGTTTTCACCTGAAAAGAAATTTGATTATTTATGGTGAAATTAGATGACCCTTAAAATAACTCAGTCATCAATTTACAGAAAAACTTAATTTGGGACAGTTTTAATTTTTAAAACTTAAGTAGAAATTTCAAACCTTATTTTAAAGAGGAGTGTAAAATATGCTTTAAAAATATGATAAGATTAATTTGATATTCTTTTCGATAAATTATCTATAAAGTGTGATTAAATTACAATGTAATCACTTCCTACCAAAAGCTCTGAATGGACTGCAGCCATGATGATTTTGGCCCTCCGCATCTCCGTTTGTTCTCGCAATTTAATACTGGCTCTTTTTTTCATTGTGTCCTAGTAAATAAAATTTTTATTAAACAAGATTTCCAAATTTTATTTGTTGGACAACTTGTTTATCAGTTTAATTAAATTTCTAAAGACTAAATGGTCATTTTATTAAATCATTAGGGGATGTACCAAGTAATTGGAGAAGTGGGATGCAAAATATTTATTATCCAATATACATGTATACTCTAAACATATATGGTTAATCTTTATAGCATGAAAGACGCATAGGTATAATTTTCATAAGGGAATAAATTGAAGATTTATGATTAATCTTTATAGCATGAAAGACCCATAGGAATAATTTCCATGAGGGAATAAATTGAAGATTTATGATAAAGTTAGATGACCCTAAAAATACCTCCGTCTTCAATTAACAGATGAACTGTGGGACAGTTTTAATAATTTTTAAAGCTTAAGTAGAAACTTCAAACCTTATTTTAAGGAAGAGTGTTAAATATGATTTACAAGTATGATAAAATTAATTTGATATTCCTTTAGATAAATTATCTATTAAGTGTAATTAAATTACAATGTAATCACTTCCTACCAAAAGCTCTAAATGGACAGCTGCCATGATGGTTTTGGCTCTCCGCATCTCCGTTTGTTCTGGCAAGTTAATACTGGCTCTTTTTTTCATTGTGTCCTAGTAAATAAAATTTTTATTAAACTAGATTTCAAAATTTTTCTTGTTGGACAACTTATTTATCAGTTTAATTAAATATCTATAGACTGTATGATGATTTTATTAAATCATCAGAGGATGTTCCAAGTAAATGGAAAAGTGGGATGCTAGATAATTTTTTTCAGTATATACCCTAACGTATGGCTTTTCTCTATAGAATAGCAGATCCATAGGAAATTTCCATAAGGGAATCTGAAAATTGGATGTAACAAAACAGAAATTCTTTGACGGGCCCCAAAAGGGATCTGTTATTGCTCATGCATTACTTTACAGTACTATCAAAGAAAAAATTCAAGATATCTGAGAATTCAAGATATGATCGTAAAATACTTAAAGAAGTCTTCGGCATGTTCAAATGACTATAACTTATGTGTGGCATTCAAGACTCATTACTTTACAGTACTATCAAAGAAAAAAATTCAAGATGTCTGAGGATTCAACATATGTTTGTAAAATACTTAAAGAAGTGTTGGCATATTCTTGTGACTAAGATTTATGCATGGTATTCAAGAAAGCAGTGTTTTAGATACTAAAATTCAACTGTATAGATAACACTTATACTTATATCATTGTACCTACCAAAAGCTCTCTGTGAACAGGATAAAATTAATTTGATATTCCTTTAGATAAATTATCCTTATTTTAATGGACAGCTGCCAGATGGTCCTGTTTGTCAGTATCTTAGAAAATGCCAATTCTCTTTGTATTTTGGCTTCACAATGGCTGCATTGTCCTATTAGAAAATGATAATCCAATGCACGAAAATTATTTTTAAAAATAGATCTTTTTCACCTGAAAAGAAATTTTATTATTTATGATGAAATTAATAATATTATTATAGTGTATTTTATTAGTTCAGTAAAATAATTTTCAATTGATAACATTTGTAAAATTATAAGTAAAATATTTTAAAAACTTGCTTTAAACTAAGTTTTAATCGTTGTTATTATTTTTCAATTTCATTATCATTTCGCATAGAAGAATTGATAATTAATGGTTATAAAAAAAAAGAGCTACAATCGGTACTCCCCATCCAGGGAGTGTGTAAGATACGAAAGGAAATCGTCGTGATTTTCCAGATAATAATGATGTGCACCTGGTAAAAGTGCTTGGTGAATAAAAAAAATTAAAAAGATGCCCAACTAGTAAACACTTGTTTGAAAATGTGATTAAATACAATGTAAACTTCCTACAGCAACTAGTAAACACTTGTTTGAAAAAGGCAGCTGCGAATGACACAAACATTTTTCAAAGTGCATTAAAACTGGGACCAAATTAACCCACTTTGAAAAAAAATTCTCAAAGTGCGTTAAATCTGGGACATACATTACTTTAGCATGTTCTTGTGACTAAGATTTATGCATGGTATTCACGAAGGCAGTGTTTTAGATACTAAAATTCAACTGTATAAATAACACTTATACTTATATCATTGTACCTACCAAAAGCTCTCTGTGAACAGGTCCTGTTTGTCGTATCTTTCTGGCCAATTGTCTTTGTATTTTCTTCACAATGGCTGCATTGTCCTATTAGAAAATGATAATCCAATGCACGAAAATTATTTTTAAAAATAGATCTTTTTCACTTTGAAATTAATAATATTATTAAAAAGTTCAGTAAAATAATTTTCAATTGATAACATTTGTAAAATTATGTAGTTTTAATCTGTTATTATTTTTCAATTTCATTATCATTTCGCATAGAAGAATTGATAATTAATGGTTATAAAAAAAAGAGCTACAATCGGTACTCCCCATAACGCACTTTGAAAAAATGACACAAACATTTTTCGTTAAATCTGGGACATACTAGACGCACTTTGAAAAAGTTTATGTACACTCTTAACGCACTTTGAAAAAATTCTCAAAGTGCGTTAAATTTGGGACATACTCAACGCACTTTGAAAAATTTTTTCAAAGTACGTTAAGAGTGTACATAAACTTTCTTTTTACCATGTGGAGATTTAACGCACTTTGAAAAAAAATATTATCTTATGCATAAAATGGCCCTGTAACTTTATCAATTAATTAACACGCCCTCCTTCCCATATCATACACCAAAATAAAGTACACATTTGGTGCTTTCATTTTCTTTAATAAAATTTCGTTTTGAGAATTGAGATATTGGAAAACAGGTTTGAGAAATTGCATTGTTCTTGAAATTTGCAGAAAACATGTCTATTTGACTACCTTCAGCAAAGAACTAAAATATGAGCACAGCCCACGATCCAAAAAATAAAACATGCTTTTTGATTTTCAGAAACAGAGCTTTCCTTACGTATTTGCATATTTTGAATCAGAGGTTAAGCTGTATATGAAATATTGAAAAAATGCTTCAACTTTAGGTCATTTTCAAAGGAATTTACAGGATATGGGGAAAATGACGCATTTTATGACATCATAATGCAAGGTCTAGATGGGAAATTACGTCACAATTAATAGATACGTGGTCACCAACACTCCAAGTGATAAATTACTGCATTTGAAAACTAAACTGAGCGGTTTTTATTTTTCAGAAATTCTCAGGGCCAAATAAGGCTCAATGTGGCTCTTGCTCTTTACATGTATTGATTTACTTTCATTGAGAACAAGAAGATGAGTATATAGAAGGTCTCTCAGTCAAACTCTTTTTTCTTATACATAGCTGTCGGTAGCAAATTGAAAGTGTCCCCCCAAGGTTAGCCCCAATTTTTAATGTCATTATGTATATCTTTGCAAAGTATTTGTGTGTAGACCCCCCCCCTGCTACCGATGTCTATGCTACACCCAGATAAATGTATTTGCATAAGTGGTATGACGATGAAAACTTTCAATAAATTTTAGTTTACATTAAATGGATCCCATGCAAACTTGAAAAAAATAAAGTACAGTGACACATTTAAGAGAGAAAGAACTTTCAATGTATGGAAAAATCAAAATCGCTCACTTTCACATCCGGAAAAATCATTTATCCCACCTAAGATTTTCAAATATACTGACCAAGACATACACATTTTTTTCAAAGTGCGTTAATATGGTCAATATCAACGCACTTTGAAAAGAAATTTTATTCTTACAAAGTGCGTTGATTTGGTCCCAAATTTAACACACTTTGAAAATTTTTTCAAGTGCGTAATTTTTCAAAATGCGTTGTAACAAAGCAACGATTTGATGCTCTGCATCAATTTTACTTGTTTGTAAAGTGTAATTGAATTAAGATGTAATCTCTTCCTACCACAAGCTCTGTAAAGGAGAAAGGCCGAAAACTGTCCCTTCTGTGAGAGAAAGAACTATAATAATCGAGGGCCCTACTTAGAACATTATTCTTTGTTCTAGAAAGTTTGTTTTTTAAAATGTGCAAAACAGGTAGCATACATACAATAAATTCATTGTTTATGGAATGGACAGTTACAAGAAAGCTGGGGGTGCACAGCAATTTGTTGAATAGCCATTGTGTTTCCAGATGCAAATAACAAAATTAAAGGTCTTTGTCTAAAGAATGGACAGTTACAGGTGGATTTCGGGGGATGGTAATATTTATAAAAGAATGCAACTCCTCAAACTAAGATTATATTTTGCGTTTTAAAAGCAAACATGTTTCCCTCCGCTGGAGAGAAAATATGACAGAATCGAAATCGAATTGAAACCAAAAGATGCATAATACCCGTGATATTTTGACCTGGAAATAGAGAATAGTAAGCGTAAAAGATTTTGATCCCCTTAAAACTTCTTTCCCATAGTATACTATAGTAGTAATTAGTAGTAAGTAATTTTTGGGGAGAAAGTGGAGGGAGCCCCTCCCCCTTCCCCTGTTGCTACATGCCTGACTCGATGGCTCTGAGTGTCGAGCATAGAACAGGATTTGCATCTCTTATCCAGCAAATGGTGGACTATCAAATATAAAGATTGTCTTAGGAATTCGTCATAAGGTCAATCCAAGTTTTCCTTTCTTTAACGTCACCCCTAAATTCGAAAACCTTTCTCTTTATCCAAAAAAATCCAACACAAACCAAAAGGGAAAAAACACATTTTCAGCACATTTCTAGAATACCTCATCATCATTTGAGAAACGTTGTAAATTAAGATCTCTGTTAGTTGTTTGAAACCCCAAAAATAAGGTTTGGTATTTGTTGATCTGTTGATAATTTTTGTGTTTTAAAAAATTTATTCTTAATTTCATAACCTCAAAACCAATCCGTCTGCGGAACTTGAATGGTCTAACTTTTATACATTAAATATATACAAAAGTCCTTACAATCAATTCCCGATGAACTTTTTTCATAATGCCCAGCACAGCCTTCTTTCTCTCTTCTTCCTCTGCTTCAAAAGCCTTGAACAAATAAAATTAATATAAAGTTTGAAAATAAATTCAATGAGTTTCATCCCATATTATATGTGAGCTAGTTAAAAGAAATCAAAATCGTTGTCCACAAAAAAATTTTTTTTTTTTTTTACCGAAACCGGAATCAAATTTGCTTAAGGCAATTCGTTCTTTGGTTTTATTATAATGACTGAATGATCATTTTATTTTTTTTTTAGCAAGTGTTTTATGTCATCCGACAAAAGTCAAATATGCTTACCTGCACCTTCATCTTCTCTTGACGTTCAACTTCCTCAGCCCAATTATACGAAAATTTCAAAATTTCGAGTTTGGTCTCCTGGAAGAAGATAAATAATGACAATGATCATTTGCATTTAATTTAATTATTGAAAAATTATTATAAAGAAGTAACAACAACAATGCCCAGCAATAAAAATGGAATACATCATTAATAAGAGCACTAATTTGTCATGTCATCATTTTCGACTTTGTATTGAAAAATAATAAAAGACACTGTTTTCTATACTCACCCCGTTGGTACTAAAATCAAGTATTTCACTGTAATCCATTTTCACATTGAAATAATTCTACAAAAGAAATTATGAAATGAAATTAATATACACTCCAAAGACATGCGTAAAAATTGTAATTCGGGAAATCTAATGGGAAAATGCAGCAAAAATTACATTTTTGTATTTCTCATACTAACCTCCGTTCCGCGCTCTACTTAGTTCCTCTGTTTATGGTGATAATTGTGACGTTAAACACAACATATACTTTTGTGACGTCAGTGAAATTGACTTTATTGGATGTTGTCTTGCATCATGTAACTATGACGTCATAATTAAAAAGGCTTACAATACCTGTCCAATATTGAAAAGATCAATTCATAATGTTAACAAGCAAAGCAGCAAATCGACCGCAGACAAAATTTAGCTTTTGAAAAAGCATTTTCACATTTTTAAAAGCATCCATGCAAGGAAAGCACAAGATATTCAAAGCTGACAGAGTGATCTTTTTTATTTCAGTGTGTCTTCAAAGCAAAAGAAATAAATAATCTTTGAAAAAAATTAAGTAGAAATTTCAGTGCATTTGCTCATCAAATAGATTCAGCTATAAATTCAATAATATATGTTAACATGTAAATGATAAGAATTTATTGTCATCAAAATGAAGATGTAGGCCTCTCAAAATGAACAATGTGCTGATACCCTGGATCTTTGTCACGTGATAATGTCCATGGTTTCTGCAGAGTATAGGCTGTGCTGCAAGCCGCGGTGCAAATTAAAATGTAGACAAAAAATATCATTGTGTCGTTTGCAGCTGTAGAGCAAATTTAAAACAATTTTTACTAGTAGTCTAAAAACTTCATAATTTTTATTCACCATGTGCACTTTTAACATATTATTATCCGGAAAACCATGACGATTTCCTATCATAACTTACACATTCCCAGGATGGGCAAACTCCATACAGTGTCAATTCTCCTACGAATAATGCTATAATAATGATATGGAGTTGTAGCGTAACGTAATACTGAGCTGTCTGGAGCTTGCAGGCTGGGGTGTAGCTGCAGATCTGTAGCTCTCCGAAAAAATATATATTGATAGACCGGACTATCAATATATATTTTTTCGGAGAGCTACAGATCTGCAGCTAGCTGGGGTGTATCTGTAGTAAACTCTTTTATATGACCATCAATTTTCAATTATCTGATGAGAAATGAAATTGAAGTATAATATATAATATCAACAATTAATTAAGGCAAGTTTTTTTTAAAATTTTTACTCATATTTATTTTTTCTTGTTATCGTTTAAAAACATTTTATTGAACTAATAAAAATAACGTCCCATTTCCCTATGATCACTTTCTAACTCAACCGCAACTAGATATTGAATTTCTGTAATAATGTTTGTTTATTTGTAAATAATTGTTTGAATTAAAAAGCACCATGAAAGAAAAATTGGCTTTGTAGGATACATCTTAATAAAATACAAAAGAAGCTAAAAACTAAATACATGTAATTTTTATGCTCGGTTTTCAAATGCATTGAAATATTGCATGCAACAGAAAGACAAAGTAGCTAGTTTTTGATATATATCAATTTTTTTAGATTAACATAACTTTGTACCGGTAGATACAAATACACTAATGTTTATTATATCCCTCGCTTGAAATGTGGGAGGGTATATAGTGATGGGGATGACCGTGCGTCCGTCCGTCCGTCCGTCCGTCTGTTCGTTACGCTTTGGGGTACCCATCTCTTATCCGCAACTCCTCTTATACTAATGAATGAAATTTAATGAGACTTTCACAAAATGTTTGTTACATAGTGTCATTGTGACCTCCTATTTTACTTTTTGTTCTGACACTTATTTCGGGTCTCCCGGAGCAAAACATGGCCTTAGCCATTTTAACCATATGGGAGGCGGGGGTATCATTTAGTGAGCTCAGTACCTTTAGTTTTTATTTTGCAACGTTAACACTATAAATGATAGAATGTGAACACATTGAAAAATAAAAAGTTATGTTTAAAATAATTCATAAAATATACTTTGCAACTTTATTTAAAGAGTAATTATTAACTACCAAATCAAAACTTACAAGCAAATAATAAAAAAAAACTTCAAGATATTCGAACCTAAAATGCTGCTTCGATGCGAGTCGAATCTAGCGGCAAACCAGTGTGGCTACCCGGGACACTGTACAAAATGGGTACGTATTTAAATCATTATTATTATACCCCCCCCCTCCCGTTTGAAAAGTGGTAGGGTATATAGTAACCGTGATGTCTGTCCGTCCGACGTCCGTACGTCAGTCTGTTACGCTTTGAGGTACTTACGTATCTCTTATCCGCAACTCTCATACCACTGAATGAAGTTTGATGAGACTTTCACAGAATTTTTATTACATAATGCCATTGTGACATCCTATTTTACCTTTTTTATTCGACACATATTTTGGGTTTCCCATAGCAAAACATTGACACTGCCATTATATACATATGGGAGGCGGGGTATCATTAACTAGTTTAAAACTACAGTCCTGTGCACTTGGACAATTTTCTCCCAGAAACTAAATAGGAAAAGTCAAGATTTTGGTTTATATTTCGGTCGTCTCTTCATTTTTCAAACAACTGGAACAAAGGTCCTCTTACGGTTAAAAATACACTGAAAACGCATTTCAATTTCATAAAAAGAAGACCCAGAAACAACAAAATTAATGAAAAAAATATGCCCACTCGTATATATGTTTCTGTAACCTTAATGATATACAGTACTTAGTTAAACAAACAATTAAAGCATAGCTTGGGTGCAAAATTGGACAGAAAAGACACTTGAAGTTGACAAATTTTTAAGGAATAATAGATATTTATGTCACTAAGAGTCATCTCTCTTATCAGAGTATCGATGAAGGTCATACGCAACGTAGTTTGCACTTTATTGGGTTCTTCCCTGGAGTTGAAGAGTTCCACTAAATAAAGGACCTGTGTGCAATATTTTTAATGTCTGGATTTGTACACCTCTTCTAATACAGTTTTTGATGAAAAAAGATCTGGAATTTATGTTTTGTAATTGTTATACATTTTTCTTTGAATAATGCAAAATTAAAAAAAAAAATTAATACTTTTCAAAACCCCTGGTAACGCATGCTGATTATTTTGTCTAAGAACATGCAATGGTATTATAAGTTTAAATTTAGAATATCTTTAAAAAATTATCAGTAGGTAAGGTACCTTGCGTATGTCCATAAATGGGCTGGGGGTTGTGGCCGTTTTCAGATTAGTTTGACCTCCTTTAGAAGAAGAGGTCCATATCAAGATATACAAAAATGATCAAAGAATATAGGCGTACAAGGCGAGGACAACCCCCAGCTCTGAGAAAAGACATTTCTCAATTCTAAAAGTTATATTTTTCAAAATTATACTGTTTATATCATCTTTTACACATTTAATTCTGTATTTCATTGTTTTAATATTTTATTAATAATTTATTTTTCATTCGTGTTTTTAAGATATATAAAAACAAAAAAGAAAAAGCTTCATGTATGATTCGAACTTTCTCCATAGCGCAGGGTTTGCTCAAAGACCGACCGCTTTAACCGCTACGCTACGAAGTATATGCATTATGGATGTCTGTCAGTGCGATTTAAAAGAACAGATTTTCTTGGAGCGTACATTTTTTCAGAATTTTTCGATTTTTATATAGAATGAGTTCAGATTCCATTTTTTGAACGAATGAAATAGATTTCGCATTTACGTTTCCATCATTTAAGCGTTAACGGAGAATGGACACTTGACCCATTCCTGTTCAAAATTCATTTTTTGTAGCTCTAGTAAACCCATTTTCCACTAAATATGCTTAGCTGTCCACTTTGAAATAAAGATTATCAAAAAATAAGTCGTTCGGTAGAATGAAAGAATGAAATGATTAAATGTTTTGAAGATGGCATTACTAAGAACATGAATGATTTTAGAAAAAAAAATATAACTTTTCTGTGAATTTTGAAAATTGAGAAACATTTTGTCTCATAGCGGGGGATTGTCCACGCCTTAAACGCCCTCTTTCTTTTAAAACTAAATTCTATGAAAATTTTCTTTGCCAGATTATGTATTATATAAATGAACCATAAAAAACTATATTAGTAAACTAAAAGTATTGTACTGTCGATATCTTGTGGGTTTGACATTTAATTCGGTTCGCAAGTATCTAAAATCAACCCAGAATGCTGAATCCGGTTGGAGACAGAGAATTCCCAGTTTTCGTAATGGCGCCTGTTGTAACGTTTTCCTGTAAAATATATCAAAATCGTACAAAAGCCTGCATGGAAAACCCCAGATATTTCGGACTACTGCAATAAATAAATTAATCTCTGTTAAGTCTCTTTTTGTGGCAAGATTTAATGCACTCAGATGGAGTAGTCTTTTAAAAGAATTTTACAGATAACTACGGCAACATCATAATCTTATCAAGACAATTACTAATTCAGTGTAGTCTACTAGATTGTCAAGTTAATTAAATTAAAATCAGACCAAACTGTAAGAGGAATAAAGCTTATGTTCTGAAAGTATTTCTCAGAAAGAGCATAGCGCATTTGGTAGTCACTTTCGCCTACTCTAGTAGTAATTTTTCAAAAGATTAATGGCTCCGTGATCGTGAGTTCGTATCTCGGCCGCGACTGACCTAGTCGTTAAAATGGGTAGCAACTGTTCCTTCGCCATGCGCTCGGCACTTTGAAGTGAAAGTTGCGGGTCCTTCGGATGAGACCTTAAAAACCGAGGCCCCTTGTCAGCGGCAGGCGTTGGCGCGATAAAGATCCCTCACTGAGTGCGGAGTAAAGGTCAAAATTTGAAGCCCTTCACCGGCATACGATGACGTCTCAATATGTGAAAAATTCTCGAGAGGGACCTTAAACAATATACAATCAATCAATCAAAAGATCAATGATAAATTTTAATGGAATGTTTATTGAGAATTAATTATCAACAAAAACAGTAAAGGTTAACAAATAAAGTGATAATTATTGTAAACTTAACCTACATAATAAATAACAAATCAATGTATATTAAAAATATATATACAAAAAATACAACTTTTTAATAATATCAGATTGTAAAAATATTAACTTGTAAACAATATCAAAAATACATCTTCTTATTATGTAAATGATCAAAAAATATATCTTATGGAACATAAGCAATCTGAGACATTCAAATAACAACATAAAAATGTTAACAATATGTACATTATATTACAAAACTCTTCATTAGTTAAATTTTGATAATTATATAATAAATAGTATATCATGATAGATGATAATTCATGATTAATCAATGCTTGCACGGACACCGATGAGATATGTGCTTACACCTTGAGAGAGCAGATTTGGAAATGTCTACTAACTGCAGCAAAATTATAAAACACTTTTCACCATTTCTCTTACTCTAAGTCCTGTAAAAAGAAGATAATTCAAACAATATTAAAACTTGTATGAAGAATACAATTAGGAACATGCATAAATTTTATTCACTCAAAATAAACTTTTTTTAAAATAAAATCTGATTTCCTTAACATTTGTTGATAAAATTGTTTATAAAAAGTTTTAATTGTTGAAAAAGTTAGAGGCTCTAGTCAACTGCCAAAATTTTTTTTAACACAAACCTAAGAGTATAGATGACTAGGTCTCTCATCTACTAAAGGACGTTGTAATGAAAACTGCAAGAAAAAAAAGTTTAAGGTTAATTTTTTTTGGTTCACCTTAAATTAACTCAATACAATTAATCAAGTTATGAAGGACACCCCCCCACCCCCCTCCCCCCCCCCCCCCCAAAAAAAAAACCACACTTACATTATCCTTATTTCTTGATGTGCGTCCAGACCTCCGATCGTCTGAAATAAAGACAGGAATATTAGGTGTACTCATTTCTGCTCTCTACATTTAAGAATTCTGTCCTGCACTTATGAACAGATTTCTTTATACCAAGACCTAATGTTTGCAATCAATAGCAACATGCAATAAAACATTTGAACACACTCTCAGTTCCCAGTCAAAATTTAGACGGAAACTTAAAAAAAAAAAAAAATTCATAAAGATCTGATTTTTTAGTATCACTATTTTAATTCAAATATATTAACCAAAAAATTATTTCATTTGCTCTTTTGAGTCATATATATATTTGCAACTGAACTTCAAATTCAAAAGTTTGTAGTTTACCATGTGAACAAAAATTATAAAATGTGTCAATACAGCGTGTTCTGTAAATTGTAATGTCAGGCAAGTCATTTTTTTTCTTTGAGACACATGTAATTAAAATGACTTGGGAATTAATTATATTCAAGTAATGCCATTTTAAATGCAATTGTTATACAAATTGAGATTACCTTGTAGATGGTCCAGAACAGGATATAAGCGTGGGTAGCTGGGTGGTATACCATTACGTAGGGTAGGTCTTATCTATAAGAAACATTATAAAATCAGAATGAAATCATGAACATTTTTCACAAGGTCACTTTCCCTGGTCTCCCCTCTTCAGTCTTATCATCAGTTCATGAATGTACTTTGTTTGAATACCAATTATGAATGAAAGTCTCTCCATTTTAAAGTTCATTATTTCAAGGTCAATGTTAGGCAAAGACAATCAATCATGCACATCTGAGCATGGTTTTATTTCTTTTTTTTAAATGTTCAAAATGAATTTTTAAAGTTGTGTATGGTACTGTTAAGGTTCAGAATTGTCTTACTCAAATCTTATCAGAGGCCCGTTCAACAGCACAAGCATTGGCGAACATTTCTGTTGGAGGTATACAGAATTTTGGCAAGCGCTCACAAATGTTCGCTCTGTTGAACAGGCCTCTAGTTGGATAATTTAAGTACATGTGTATCTACCATGCTAACATTTCAAATGAATGCTACTGTATCTTTAATGAACAACTAAACAGTTAAACAGTTAAGGTCATTATAACACTGCAATCAATATCATAGGGGAAATATGGTATTTACCTGTGAATTGGGTTGTCTAATGGGTCCTATAGGTTGTTGAAAGGCCATCTGCAGAAAAACAAATATTTTCATGCATATATTTCAAATCTCTTAGGAAATTAACATTGTGGAGGGGGGTGGGGTGGGAAATGGATGCTCCCCCTCCCCAAGTCATATTCCAACTCACCACTACAAGCAAGTATATGGTCTTTTATATATCAAAATCATGAATGTTGTGCAATTTAACCTAGCTAATATAAAGGGACTAATAAATATATTTTCTTTAATCAAAGGTAAAACTGTTTTAGATTTTGTAAGATTTGCATCATACTTTCAATCTGATATCTGGGGGAGGAAATAAAATTTGAATCTCCAAACAGCCCCATTCCTCAAGGGTGTAAAACCCTGCAGGGGGTCAGGGTCTAGTTGCTGGTGGATTTTTAGCAAATTACAAGGTGCATCCTTTTGAAATATACTTACAATGTCAGCCTTTTTAATCCCTAGTATTTAGTTATTTCAACTTGATGCATATCAATCAAGGATTCCAAGTAGAATTCACCTTTCAAATTTTCTTGGTCATCAACAACAACACTCTCAAGTATGAATTCATTTCAACTTATTTCAATCAAGGGTTCTAAGGTAAAGCCAAGACACAACCTTCAACATCTCATTCCCCATAGACCTTGAACTCTAGGACATAACCTTGAGTAAAGATCAGAACAGCAAGTTAGGGTTTGTCCATTCAAAGATTTCACAATTATTGCCAACTGGTCTCCAATTTACTTAATCTCAGTACATGTACCATGTGACCTTGAAGCTTGATATGTGACCTTGAAATAATATCACAACCTACTGGACATCAAACATACTCTAGTTGCAAGTTTATTTCAATCAAAGCCCTGACATTTTTAATCAGGTACTAGAAAGATGTGCAGAAAAACATGCCAACTTCAATATCTCATACTTTTGGGGAGACCCCTGTAATTCTACACAGCAATAGTCCTAGAAAATAGTCTTTAGATTGCTCAATTAAAGGTAAGCAATGTTCAAGCATACATACTGTAGAGCGAGGTTATTTTAGCGGGGTGCTTATTTCAGCTTATTTTAGCATTTTGGTAGTAGCCGGCTAAAATTTTAATCGCTAAAATTATCAATGTTCTTCTTAGTGTTCTTTTACAATGTGTTTAAACCATGTGTTCACTAAATTAAATTACGTCAATGCTGGTTATACCTTTCAGCTAGCAAAACACCAATTATTACACCCGCCAAGAAAACCTGCTATACTAGTGTACTTATGGTGAAACACAAAGTTACAGTGTAATACATTTTTTAAAGTGGAAAAGATTAAAATTTTTTTTTAATAATCTAACACTGACTTACCCTATCTCTGTTTGAAGGATTCCTAAACTGTGGGCTAATGGCATAGTTCTGAATTCTTTCCCTAAAAATATAATTTTACAATCATAATAAATTTCAAAACATAAAGAAATCTCTTGTAATAAGAGATCCATAGTACAAATTGTTCTTTATCAAGTACAAATTAAATGATCATATTACAGTCCTCTTCTTATTTATTTCGATTATGAACTGGAGTTTCTGGTTACAAGAAATAGAACAAGAGGCCCATGGGCCACATTGCTCACCTGAGAAGCTTTGAACATTCCGTTCTTTACCAGATTTCCCCTTGTTATACACATTGTGACCCCACCCTACCCAACTGACCATAATTTAAACAATTTGAAATCTACACTACCATAGGATGCTTTGATTCAACATAGTAAAACTTTGATTCCCAATTGTGGCCCCGCCCTACCCCCGGGGGTGACATGATTAGAACAATTTAGAATCTACACTATCCCAGGATGCTTCCACATAAGTTTCTGCTTTTCTGGCCCAGTGGTTCTTGCGAAGAAGATTTTTCCTATATATTTCTATGTAAAACTTTGATTCCCCATTGTGGCCCCGCCCAACCCCCGGGGATCATGATTTGAACAAATTAGAATCTACGCTACCCCGGGATGCTTCCACATAAGTTTCAGCTTTTCTGGCTCAGTGGTTCTTTATAAGAAGATTTTCAAAGATTTTTCCTATATATTGCTATGTAAAACTTTGATCCCCCATTATGGCCCTGCCCAACCCCCGGGGGTCATGACTTTAACAATTTGGAATCTACACTACCCTGGGATGCTTCCACATAAGTTTCAGCTTTTCTGGCCCAATGGTTCTTGAGAAGAAGATTTTTCCTATATATTTCTATGTAAAACTTTGATTCCCTATTGTAGCCACGCCCTATCCCCGGGGGTCATGATTTTTACAATTTAGAATCTGCACTACCTAAGGATGCTTCCACATAAGTTTCAGCTTTTCTGGCCAAATGGTTCTTGAGAAGATTTTTTAATGACCCCCCCCATTTTTTTGCCTTTCTTGATTATCTCCCCTTGTGAGGGGACTTGGCCCTTCATTTTCACAATTTAAATTCCCCTTCATATAAGGATGCCTAGTACCAAGTTTGGTCAAAATTGGCCCAGTGGTTCTTCAGAAGAAGTCGAAAATGTGAAAAGTTTACAGACGGACAGACAGACGGACGGACGGACGACGGACAAAATGTGATCAGAAAAGCTCACTTGAGCCTTCGGCTCAGGTGAGCTGAAAACACCAACCTTTGTACTTTCCAGTGATGCCACTTCCTGCAAAGAAGAACACCAAGAACAATAATGAGGGCAAGGAAAAGGGCCCCCAGGGGGACTGCTACCCCCACCCCCACAAGGATCTGCTTGTCCTCTGTGATTGCTGTCAGTGTGCTTGAAACAACAGCAACTGTAAATGAGAAACATTTTGTTACCCTCCAGTTATGAACATTGTTCAATTGCATTGCAAGTGTAAAGTATAAGAAGACATGATACCATATATGTGGAAATTTTAGCGAGGTGCAAATTTAGCGATTTGTCCTTAAAAACAGGTTATTTATTTTTAGCGAGATGTTATTTTAGTGATTTTAAAATGCACATTAAAGAAGCTATTACAATTCAGACACAAATAATTTTTAGCGATATTCATTTTTAGTGAAATTCGGCACCCTCGCTAATTATTAAATCCTCGCTAAAAATTCTACTTATACCATATTCTGATACCTGTTGATGTTTTGGTCGTCAGAAGGACAGTTGTTGTAGAGGGAATTACAGTCGTACTTCTCCTATAATGAAATGTCAATAATGGTGTTACCATAGAAACAAAAAATAAATTCTTAGTTTAATTTATCAAATTTATAATTCAATATTTCTTGATCCAAAGAAGGCAATATTTTAAATTTTTATAACTAAAGAAAAACCTACTTACATCAGACAATTCCACCAGCCTGAAGACTCCATTATACAGGTTGCATTTTCGGTGCAAGTCTTGCACACTACTGGAACTGTAAAACAGAATAATTAAGGTTTTTTTTTTGCTAAAAGCTAAAATGAATGTAAATTTATTGCTTTAGCAAAGATGCATTGTGGTTTACATCAATTGTGAATACTACATCATTATTAATGAAAAATTTATAACAGAGTTTTCTTAAAAATTCTATATTTTTTCTAAGTCAACAGAGGGATAGTACATTACATTATAAAGAAGACAACAATGGCAGTGTGTTTTATGCAAACAATAAACTTACCATCTTGTGTTCCATCAAAGATGTCTGTATTCCTTAACAAAGGTACACAGCTACCACCAAGAGTTATGCACCCTACAGTGTCGATTCTCTCATTGACCCTGCTGGCAATCAGGGTCACAAAATCTGGGTCAGATGAAGTTTTCAGGAAGACTGTCACATGTAATTTTGTTCCAGTGGAAAAAGCCCTGAAATGCACAAACCTGTCATCAGCATAATGTAACAAATTAGTTTAGAGCTGCCAATTAAATGTCCTGTTTATTCTTGAAGTAGGAAAAACTTTAAATTCGTATTAATTAATTAATAATTCTTGAACACGTTGAATCACTCACGATATTGTTGACAACTGGACTCTGTCTACCACTGTCAGGTTCAGTAGTCCATTCAGCTGAAAAAGATCATCACCAAGTTCTTGAATCAAAGATACTGCATTTCATTCAGCTAGTACTTTCATGTGGTTAAAGAAACTTGCACTTTTCTTTCGCTTCATACTATTGGAGCTAGCCAGAAAGCATAATTTATACTTACAGTTGAAATAACTGAGTTCTCAAACAAGGCATACTTTATATCCACTGTATCTGCCATAAACGCTTCATAACTCTGGGTTACTGTTATTTTCAGAGGAACTGCATTCCTGGTGCTTACTAAAACAAAATTGAAAATTAACAAAAAGCTATTAAACTGAGTAAAAACTATCGAAATAAATCCAAACAATAAATGATGTTTTTCATTAGAAGAATCACTTTTCAGAGACAATTATCATCGATACATTTAGATTATGTGTAACTTACCTGAAATTGGTCTGTCAAAAGAAGAAAAACAAGAAATTTAATACATGCTGATATTAATGTTATAATCTTAAGGATCTACTTCTAAATTCATTTTTATTAGTATTTATTTTGTGTATTTGTCATAGACCTCAAGATCTTAACCATTGGTAGAATCTGAACCTCTTAGGTGTAAAGACAAATTATTGTGAGGCTGGATATTTCTAACATGCAAATAAAATGGTTGGTTTACAGTATATGAGGCATGGCTTCTCCATTACCCATATATAGCCTCATACCTTGCATTCCATTGGACAAATAAACAGAAAAATAACAAATTCTTTAGAAGACTTAAATTATTGGGAAAAAATTGGAAATAAACTATTCTTCTATGAAAAAAAAATATTTCCGAAATTTACAGAAAAGAGAGATTATAAATATTGTCTTCAGAAAAGCTTATTTTGGCATTTATATAAATTCTTACCTGCATACATAGGTGTAATCCACCTGGATGTAACACTTTTCAGTGGGTAGACAAAATAAACATGGGGCAGGCTCTACAAAATTAACATATTACCAGTATGTATAAATTAGGCCAAAGTAACCCCATCACGTTGATAATGAGCTATTGTGTCCAGATCCTACCGAGTTAGAAAACTTACTATAAAGTACTGATACAACAGGGCTTTGTAGTACGCTATATTTAGTTCCCTGTAGCTGTACTCCTGTTTGGTACATGTTCTGTAGAACTGTACTCAACTCAGCCTCCAACTTTGTCGTGAGATTTGTATTAAACTTCACTTGTAGATTAAACACAGTACTGCTCTCACTGTAAACACAAAGCAAAAACATGATTAACTTACACTGTATCTGAACGATGCTTATTATTCACAAATGTCATACCAACTTACCTTATTCCTATAATCTTAACTGACTTCAGATTCTGCATGTTGACAAAAAAGGTCTGAGTCTAGATAAAGATAAATAAGAGATAACTCACTGGAATGACATTGTAAACCTATAGGGTTTAGCACAGACATATTGTTTGAACATTTTAAACTTAGACAATATTAATATCATAATCATTTTTAGTTATTAGCAGTGAAAGTAAAATGATATAAAGGTTTATTAAATCAGAATGTATATTATTAGTGACGCAAATTCAGTGACTTTATAATTGGAACAAGAGTCCCATGGGCCACATCGCTCACCTGAGAAGCTTTGACCATTCTGTTCTTTACCAGATTTCCCCCTTGTTATACATAATGCATCCCCACCCTACCCCACTGATCATAATTTAGACATTTTGAAATCTACACTACCCCATGATCCTTCCATGGGCACATATGTTTCAGCTTTTTTGGCCCAGTGGTTCCTGAGAAGAAGATTTTCAAAGATTTTTCCTATATATTTCTATGTAAAACTCTGATTCCCTATAATGGCCCCGCCCTTCCCCCGGGGGTCATGATTCCTACAATTTAGAATTTACACTACCCCAGAATGCTTCCACATAAGCTTCACTTTTTCTGGCCCAGTGGTTCTTGAGAAGAAGATTTTCAAAGATTTTTCCTATATATTTCTATATTAAACTTTGATTCCCCATTGTGGCCCCGCCCTTCCCCCTGGTGTCATGATTTGAACAATTTAGAATCTACATTATACCAGGATGCTTCCACATAAGTTTCAGCTTTTCTGGCCCAGTGGTTCTTGAGAAGAAGATTTTCAAAGATTTTTCCTATATATTTCTATGTAAAACTTTGATACCCTATTGTGGCCCCGCCCTTCCCCCGGGGGTCATGATTTGAACAATTTAGAATCTACACTATACCAGGATGCTTCCACATAAGTTTCAGCTTTTCTGGCCCAGTGGTTCCTGAGAAGAAGATTTTCAAAGATTTCTCCTATATATTTCTATGTAAAACTTTGATTCCCTATAATGGCCCCGCCCTTCCCCCGGGGGGTCATGATTCCTACAATTTAGAATTTACACTACCCCAGAATGCTTCCACATAAGCTTCACTTTTTCTGGCCCAGGGGTTCTTGAGAATAAGATTTTCAAAGATTTTTCCTATATATTTCTATATAAAACTTTGATTCCCCATTGTGGCCCCGCCCTTCCCCCGGGGGTAATTATTTGAACAATTTAATATCTACACTACCTGAGTATGCTTCCATATAAGATTCAGCTTTACTGGCCCAGTGGTTCTGGAGAAAAAGATTTTCAAAGATTTTTCCTATATATTTCTATCTAAAACTTTGATTCCCCATTGTGGCCCCGCCCTTCCCCCGGGGGTCATGATGTGAACAATTTAGAATCTACACTATACCAGGATGCTTCCACATAAGTTTCAGCTTTTCTGCCCCAGTGGTTCTTGAGAAGAAGATTTTTTAATGACCCAACCCTATTTTTGTCTTTTCTTGATTATCTCCCCTTGCGAGGGGATATGTCCCTCCATTTTAACAATTTAAATTTCCCTTCACCCAAGGATGCTTTGTACCAAGTTTGGTCAAAATTGGCCCAGTGGTTCTTGAGAAGAAGTCGAAAATGTGAAAAGTTTACAGACGGACAGACAGACGGACGGACGGACAGACAGACAGACGGACGGACGGACGACGGACAAAATGTGATCAGAAAAGCTCACTTGAGCCTTCGGCTCAGGTGAGCTAAAAAGGACTTTAATTTTGTAAACAATTATTATCTTGTCAAAACAAATTGGATTTTGTTGTTGTTCAAATGCACTATAATTTGGTAGATCATTTTGTAATGAAATTGATCCGAATAGACCAATCAAGCCCATCGATAGTAAGCTATAAAATTTGAACGGAAATACAATGGTATTATTAAGAGTTTTGACTAAGAGCAATAAAATTGGGAACTTTGAAGTAAATAAGTAAAAGAGCTTAAGGCTAGAACTCCTGTGGTGCAGGGATGGGGACTGAGCCCATAAATATTAGTAATGAGTATTTACCTGCATTTAAGGGTGGTGCCATGTTGGGGTTCATAGG